CTACTGTAGGAGACCAGCCGGCAACATGTACATCAACCACAATACTGTAACAGGGCCGGGGGCCGGGCACACGTCCAAAGGTTGAGAGACTGCGTGCCCTGCTTCTGTCTGTGTAGACTGCATGCCCTGCTTCTGTCTGTGTAGACTGCGTGCCCTGCTTCTGTCTGTGTAGACTACGTGCCCTGCTTCTGTCTGTGTAGACTGCGTGCCCTGCTTCTGTCTGTGTAAACTGCGTGCCCTGCTTCTGTCTGTGTAGACTACGTGCCCTGCTTCTGTCTGTGTAGACTGCGTGCCCTGCTTCTGTCTGTGTAGACTGCGTGCCCTGCTTCTGTCCGACTCTAAACAAGCCAGGAATCCAAGCCGTCAAAGCAACCGAAGGTTGTACTTCGAAGTACATTCGCACCTACTCTGTGAATCATTACAAAACCAAAGGCTACACAGCACTGCGATGTGTAAGAATGCAGCACAGTGCACGTCCTCGGTAAGGTGTGTGTTTAGTATGCGTACACATCAAGTACACGTATAGCGACTCACTTCTATTCCTCACATGTACTACCAGGCGTAGTATTTTTAAAGTTTTTTTTACACATTGTGCATATTTTCGGATGTCCAGTTTGGGCCAGCTTGTACCGCACGCGAGGAGAAGGCTGTGAACTTTCTCATACAACATACATGCTTACCTTTTATATTACCTCCATGACTGAGAGATGTGCTCAGCCAATCCGGGTATGGTAAAACGGTGATGTCATAGTTCACGCAGACAGGAGCGTCTTCACAATCTAAAGAGTGAGCACGGCACACACACACACACACACACACACAGCACAATGATGCACCACACGGATCTGAAATAACTTATGTGTGGATGCTAGCAACAACGTCTGACAAGAAACAAAGCCAGGACTGCTAGTCAGTAATTCTTATAAAACAAATGCCTTGGACACCTAGACGTCATGCTTAGCATCGGACAACTAGTGACTACATACGAAGTAGCTACATGTAAAACCAAATTGAGCTGCTCCGACTGGCTCTGCCTGTAGCCTAAACCACTGGGCCGCTTTTGTATTTACTATTTTTAGTCTTCAACTTTACAAATCCATGCACATGTGTACTCTGTACACACTAACACAGTTGAACATACTCTGTCTTAGCAGTGCTTCCAAGCTAGATTGCAGGTTTGCTGCTTGCCCTAGCTGCTGCACTTCAAGTAGAAGCTCCAGCTCAACTTTCACTTGTACCTACACCCACACACAAGATCAGACAGGAAACAAGCAATGTGCATAAATCAATCCCGTGATGAAAATTGCAGTACTGTCGGGCGCCGAAGAATGCAGTGCCAAAGAACAAACAGGCTAGGAGTTCATCAAACACAGCATACCGATGTATACTGGCACAGAAAGAAAAACAGCATCGACAGCATTCTTTATTTTTACTAATTTTCAGTGATGCAACCAATGGGGTTTTCTTCGAACGAATATTCCCTCGAATATTGCTTTGGCGAACAAACGAATTTTCTATAATTCTTCTTCTGATGTGGCCGAGTCACTTCACTCAACCAGACCCACCAGTTATGGTGTCTACTGATCACATGCATAGTAAATATCCACAGGTGAAAGAGCAATTTCACCAAAGAACAAGCTTCACAGTTCTCAGAACATACTTTCTTCACTATCATCCTCGACCTCAACAGTACGGAGGAGATCATGGCCGGAGCTGCATAATACAACGATGCAGCGCGGATTTTTCGAGTTATGGAATATTCGAATGCTACTGCACGTGTGGATTCACAGGAAGTGTGAGTTACGAAGTCTGAAGAACATGTTGGACGGTCTCTGCTGGGATGACAGAAGAAAGGCTTGTGCTAGAGAACAAGAAGTAATAGTTCCTTGACCCTTGCCAAAGCTGAAGTTGAAGACCTTTGCCACACAAAAGCAGAAGGTGTCAAGTCAACGCAAATCAACTCCCGTCCTGCGTGCTGACTATGCTCCATTCAGCAAGATGGATGTAATAGCCCAAAGCCGGCAGCATATGGATGTACGACAAGTTCTGTCCTACCCACTTGGCTCGGCTCTGCTGTCTCTGTGTACATCAGATGGTGCTTTGGCGAAGACGAACAAGTCCGCCCTGCTTCAGCTACTTGAGAAAGTATCTCCGTCTGCAAGTTTGCCTGAAACTGCTCTCGCCAAGTCCAGTGCGCTACGTCAGATGGCACTTTGGCGAAGACGAACAAGTCCGCCCTGCTTCAGTTACTTGAGAAAGTATCACCGTCTGCAAGTTTGCCTGAAACTGCTCCCGCTGAGTCCAGTGCCCTCATTGTTGATGTAATGGCCATGTTGCAAGCACTGAGCCAGAAGTCTATACCAGGTACGTTTTCAGAGTTGGCATCATTCATATTCAAAAGTCTCTCTAACAGCACAATGGTCAAAGTTTCTCAGCGATAGCCAGAACAAGACAGAGCTCATCTCTTTCTTCATGGCAGAATGGTGCAACAGCACAGCTGATCTTTGTGGGAGAGCGCTTTTTGCCACGGCTGGAGATCTATGTATCAAGCTTTCATCAACTGTTGGTTCTGGAATGATCAAGGCAATTTGCATTGAGCTGAAGTGCGCACATGAGGAAGCTGATACTCGCCTCTTGCTGCATGGGAAGCATGCTGTTGACAATGGCTACTCATCGATCACCATCAAGTCACCAGATACTGATGTAGCTGTTCTTGCATGCTGCCTTAGTGCATCATTTCCGGAGCAAGCGAATCTGTACTTCCTCACTGGCTCCAGGGGTAATGTGAGGTTACTTGACATGAAGGCCATTGGAAGTCAGCTTGAACAGTCGGCTTGCAGTGCTCTGTTGGGCATGCATGCTTTCACTGGATGTGAAACAGGCAGTGCATTCCATGGCCGTGGCGAGGCAGCAGCTTTCAGTCTGATACGTGCTGATGGTGAGAAGGGATCCAGTGCTTGTGCTGCTATGTCCTCCTTGGGTCAAACCTTCAATATCTCTTCCACCCACGTACCACCCATTGAGCAGTTTACCTGCTTGCTGTATGAATGTGGTGTTGCCGACATCAACGATGCACGGTATCAGCTTTTCTCCAGCGCAGAAACATCAAAAGACTCCAGCCGCTTGCCTTCATGCAGAGATGCTTTGCTAAAGCACATTGCCAGAGCAAACTATCAAGCTGCTGTATGGAGACGGGCGCTGGAGCCCAAGCCTGACATCACTCCTCCGTGCAGCGATGGTCAAGGCTGGAAGCTCATGGATGGCAAGCTCCAAGTTGACTGGTTATCCTTGGAGCCTGCTCCCAAAGGCCCTCCTTGGGTTTGTCAAGTGCAGCTGCAAGAGCGGTTGCAGTGGAGGTCGCTGCTCCTACAAAGCCCAGTCATTGCGCTGCAAGGATGTGTGTGGCTGTGCAGAAAGCTGTCAGAATAGAGACAATGCCTTGAGTGATGACAATTGATGACATTTTTCTCCTCACTGCCGTGAACAATCTTGTGCATGGGGCTGGTCCTTGTGCAAGATAGTGGAAGATACCCGAGTCTTAGCAGATAATTAATACGTGAAGCATATCCAACGACAGCCTTCTATAATAGTCGTGTATTGACAATGATATTCGACTATCCGGAGTCGACTCGAAGCCAAACTTGATGACTGCATCTTAATGTTTAAAATTATGTCCTAGAGCATGGACATAATTTTCTTGTACACATTATTAATTTATTATCGATGAAATATGTACATGTGCAATCATGTACATGTTCCGTGTGACTTGTTGCCTTAAGCACTCTTGTGAGCCGGCGAAACTGGCCTTCTGTCTACTTTTATGCGCATGACTGCCGGAATCGTAACCAATGTACGCGTACATAATTATGACTGACTATTATGACTGACTTCCTGTACTGTGGATTAAAGTACTGTATGCTTTATCTCTGCGTGTGATGAAATAGTCAGCTGTTTCCTTCATACACTGTTTTCTGATATAATACATGTACATGTTGTTGGTTGACAGCATGTAACAAGGTGGAGGACACCGTGTTCGCAAACACAGCGCCTTTCTACAACCATCCACGGTTGGTAGAGCCCCGGTCGGTCGCGACCATCTGAACCGTATGGGTGTTAGACCCGGTTCTGACCCTCTTTTTAACCCTTTTGAGCACGCATGACGCATTATTACGTCACGTACAGTGTCACTGCTCCCACGCGTGACGTATTATTACGTCGTGAGTGTACATAGCGTACAAGCGCGATTTGCATGAACCGCGTGAGTTCAAACTATCGTAACTCGGTCAATTCTTGGCCGATTCTCACGATTGAAACATGTATCTGCAAGAGAAAACTCTCAGCTTGCCATAGAAACAATTGCCGAAGCGATACGACCCCGGGTTGTTGAGATATGCGACTCGACACGGCAAATTCAAATCGATTTTTTGCGTACTCTGCAGAACACGTATTTTCCATTTTCGATCATTTTCGCGCTATCTGCTGCCATGGAAACTAGATTCAAATGATGGCAGCGGATCTGGGGAGTCCTCAAAAAAATTTGAGCCCAATACGAGCAAGGAGAGTGAAATGGCAGCTGAGGATTTGATCTCCTGGCCGTGCTCAAGTCTGTCGAGCGCGTGCGTGAAGTTTGCCAGACTGTAGCATGGGCTTTTGGTGTCGCTCCGAGCTGAGCTTGGAACTACTTTGTTCCTCGCCTCAAGACCTTTGCAGGAAGCTCAAGATCGTGGAATTCGTCCAAGGGAAGGTAAAGTTATCGATCCTTGAACAGCTACTGCTTTCATAGGAAAAACGCGATTTTTGCAGGTGTTGAAGTGGGGCGGCATTCAGGTAGCGTCGTGCTCAAAAGGTTAAAAAAAGAGTTTGAAAAGAAGAAAGAAGAACAATTCAGAACAAAACTCGCTACTAAGTCTAGGAGTATCCAGAAGACATCCAGGAGTGAACACAGAATACAAGACTGACGGTACGAGAAGTCTAAGACAACTCCCCTAGAATAGAGAGGGCCAGAACCGGGTCTAACACCACTGTCAACCAACATGTACATGTATAATATCAGAAGACAGTGTATGAAGGAAGCAGGCGACTCTACACGACTAGGGCTACAAGATAAAACACATATTTTGTTGCGCGCTCTCGGTGGAAACGAAACTTCACATTTCTCAACCCTGGCCTCCGTGGTAACACCTTAGCTCAGTGGTTAGAGCATCGCTGGCCTCAAGCCAATATCTGGTAAATCCTGGTGGTGAGCGGTGACAGGCAATTTTTTCTTCAGACTTTTCCCGTTTGTGTCTTTCCCTCAAACCCGTTACTGCATGCATTCGAATATTCTTTCTGGTGTCGGTATTCTAGAATATTCCGAATATCCGAATAATCCTTTTAATACATCACTGCTAATCTTGTATTGCATTTCCATTCATTGTGTTTATTTCGCCCGTAAAAGAGGCCTTCTCTCGTAAAAAAACAACAACATGGATAGTTTGCAGGCAACCTGCCTGCACTCAAGAGAGCACTGCATTTCACATAAATCCATTAGAGGTATAGTTTCAACGTTTCGGTCTTCATGACCAGCATCAGGAATGAAGTGGACTATTCAAGTGTAATGAAGCTGCGTGAAGCGTCCTTCAAAATTTTGAAACACCATGGATGTTAGAAGAAAACGCACACAATGCGGTCATCGATACCTTCATTAGTGACAGGTCATTGATCTGCTGCATTGGCAACGTAGCACGATACACCGTAGTTGTTGACCACCACAAAGGTACTCCGAACCCAGCCAAGAGAATAAACACCATGAAGGTGGTCCATAGACGCAACTTTTGGTCTGCAAGTTTGTCTGTTACACATACGACGAGAAAGAAATGGCAGCTTTTAAAATACGCAGCCATGGTCCAGCACTCCTTTATTGCATGTGTGTGCGCGCGCGCGCGTGTGTGTGTGTGTGTGTGTGTGAGGTGTGTGTGTGTGTGTGTGTGTGGTGCCAGGTGTGCATTGGTGGTCGATTCACATGGCATGCCAGTTGTGTGGATTAGACAGTTATCTGGCGCAAGTCTTGATCTGTCTCATTCGGATCTTGATCGCTATCGTTGCTATAAGACAAAATCTGTGGGTGCACATCCAGTGCATTTGCAGATTTGCGAGCTTCTCTTGCGACGGGCGTATACATGGTACATGGTGTGTGTGTGTGTGTGTGTGTGTCTCGCCACCTCTGCTGGAGAAAGTAAGTAATTAACTACGAATGCCCGCTATAGATATGTTTCGTAACACTAATCGTTCCCTGCAGCAGATCTGAACAGCCGAGGGGTCTACTAAATCACGGCTCTTTTTCATATTTGTGTCGGAAAGGTCTATAGCATACTGGTATCGGCTTGGCTTGTGATTACACTAACTTACAACGTATCGACCTGAGGTGTAGAGACTTTATATCGAGCGTGAGGATTACTGTGTATTATACATATTTATCTAATTTGTAAAGACGCAAGGAGAGATCATAACGAGAGTATAGCACTTACCAGCTAATTCTTGTGAATTTGATTGAACTTTTTCTAAAGTGTCCATGCCGAGGTTTGAAACCAGTGGTTCACTTCTGCTACCGTGCAATGATTACTAGTATGTCTATGCCGACGAGTGACACAGTGTATGAAGATTACGTCCAGTCGTCACGCACATGCCTTGGAAATTGTGTGGCCAATCATTCAGCAAGAGTTTACCACTAGAAAGATTAGTCTATCGTAACAGATAACTAGTAAATGAATTACGCGTGGAAGAAATTAATGGTTAATGGTAAACCGATACACCAAGAGCATGCTTTGCAATTTGTCAGTGCTGCCTGCAAATAGTAAAGCTAAAGGTACAGCAACTGCAAGCTAGCTAGCTATTCGCAGTAAAATTGCTCAAAACAATTACATAATATTCTATAATTTTTTGAAAATTTGCAGCAGTACAGTACTACGTCACCGCACTTGTAACAAGGCACGTGATCGAGTGTGAACCCGGCCCGGCCGTAGTGCTGACCCGAATTTGCTAGCAATTCTTCTAGCAAAATATCGAAGAATTTTGAAAGGGAATTTTTGCTGGCAAAATGGAGCAAAATATCGGTGTGTTGGCTGGGAATTGGGAGATTTTACACATATACGGTGCACATGACTCATTTCGGCACAATTTTACCAACACGTGACTCACTTTTTCTCATTTTTGCCAACACGTAACCCACTTTCGGTCAGTTTTCTCACACGTGACACAAATTTTGGAGCAAAAAGGGAGCAAAATATCGAGTGGCCTAGCAAAATGAAAGCAAAATTTCGACGATGCACGAGCAAAATTATGCCGCAAAATATCGAGATTCAGCTGGCAAATTCGGGTCAGCACTACCCGGCCGTCGCGCCTACTGCTACGAACGGCGGAACGCTGGGCGCGCTATAGCGCCGGACCCGTGAATAGTGGTTACCGTCATCGAGCCAAAAATGGACCGGTGTTCACGCGAGGTGCACGTATTTTTGGACTTTACATATGTATCGCTATGTGGCTGTGGCGCGTGGTACGAGACACACCACTTGACCTGGCCCACAGAAAGGCTCTGCTGTTCCTGGCGCATGCATTTGATGCACGCTACAGCTGGCGCTAGTGGTATTTTTCCGTTGATGACCGGTACGCGGTATGCACGCTGAACACTATTTTCAACAACTGAACATTATTCTCTGCTGGAAAATTTGACGTTGGGTTGAATGCAAATTATTTTCATGAGACGAGATGGATATCTAACTTACTTGGACAATGTGACTACAAGTGTTTGAAAAGGACTAACGTGCTAGTATTGTGGAGATTGCGAACGCTCCTCATGGCCAATCGTCGTGTGTTCTCTTCGAATCCTGTTGACCTGGTTCGTTGATTTACCAATTTTCTCAGTTGTTTTTCTTGACCTAATTATGTGATGAGAGTGCTTTGCTATTTTTGGTGGTGGCGTAATTTCAGCATCCGTTGGTCCAGGCTTGCTTTCAGTGCAATGTCAATGAGCTTCGCCAGCTCATCCAAAATCGTGAAGATGTGAACGTCCAGGTTAGCCCTGCTTGCGTAATGTTTTGTTACGTTGATGATTGTTTTGTGTCACACAAGTTGAGCTTAACCACTCAAGCTTGCTTCGATACACTCCTACATGCCTTCGCTTGTGATTGTGTGTGTGCGTGTGTGTGTGCGTGTGTGTGTGTGCGTGTGTGTGTGTGTGTGTGTATGTGTGTGTGGTGTGTGTGCATGTGTGTGTGTGGTGTGGTGTGTGAATGTGTGTGTGTGGTGTGGTGTGTGAATGTGTGTGGTGTGACCACTGTGAAGTAGTGCAGAACAGTGTGAGTCTACTGACATAAGGACAAGACTGCAGTTGTTGCCAGTACAAACCAGTACAGTCATGTCGTTACACATTATCACACACCCGGTATAAGCATGATGGCAATGGGCATGGACGAACTGGGACTGACCATGACTGTGTTAGTGCGGCATTGATGAAATACACAATCCTACACAGTTGCGAGGGCAAGACGCTCTGATCTTGCCGAGGTCTGTGAGTGATCTCGCCCGAGGTCGCGACGCCCAAGGGGCGTAGCCCCGCCCGACGCAACTGTAGGATCGTGGTTCATACATGGCCCACCTCCCGAACAACTAACTTCACTCGGCAATTCACCTACGGCACACCCGACGAACAACAGCACTCGGTCCAGATAAGATCAGATTAAAGTCAGGTTCAAAGTGGTTGGTAATATTTATTTCATCATGAACTGGAAACTAAGATAGGCCACTGAAAATATAATTCAACATCCGAAAATGTGTTGCGCGTCTTGCTCACTGGAATAGCTGCAGATCAACACAGAGCTTTCACTACGAAAAAAATTAACTGGTGATACTGTTCAAAAGCAGAGTAACATGGAAATTGGAATAGGCGTCGACACCGACGGCAAGATCACAAAAAAATTACCAAGGCCCTGATCAGAGCGGCATGCACAATGCAGCTTCGTAGGATTATGAATCTGAGTCACACGTGGCACGCCATACAATCAAGTTTACTCGGTCCCGAAGAGGTCCATTCCGCTACAGTGTCGCATTGGAAAGCAAAGTGGGTGATACTGTAGTATGAAATGAAAGCTGAGAACGGCTACAGAGACGGTATTTGCAGATCTAAAATTCACCTGCGCGTCTCTGTGACTGGTGCAGGTGTAAATCACGGCTTACCTTTTACTGGAAAAAAACAAAATGGGTGGTAGTGTTCAGTGAAGGGTACTATTCAATTTGAAAACGGCTCCTGAGAAGTTATTTCCCGAGCCAAAATTTAACTGAGCGTTGCGCAGGAGAGGACCAGCCGCAGATGGCGCCTCCAGTGCGAGAAGCTCTGCTGGCGACAAGCTTCCAATCAGGGCGTCAACATCAGCGTCAACGACGCCAGCAGGACTCAAGGCCGGAGCAGGATGGCTGGGTAGTGACACGGCGCTCGAAGCACTAGTACTGGTATTTGTGCCGGTCGACGGAGGGACACTGGACACGGCCGGCGTAGACGCTGAGCTGCACACGGGGTCAGCTAAAAGAAGATCAACGAGGCTAGGTGATTGTGGACGCGCGGCGGTGTCACTAGCGTCTGTCGGCATATCAGTAAATAAATAAATCAGATCTCGCCCAAACTCGGATGTTGCGCGACTGATGTTGCTGTAGCAGGCGGCGCTGGTACACCAACCAGAACTGCTGCCATTCCTCGTTCCTGCTCCTCCGTTGGTCGGCAGTAGCTGGTCAAGGACTGGGCGTTCTTGTGCCCAGTGATGGCCATAATGTGTCGTTCAGGGACATTCTCCGTATTCAGGCGGCTGACGGTGTACGCCCTCAGGCAGTGATTAGTGTATGTTTTTGACGTTTTGGCATCCGCTGAAATTGTCTTCATGATGTCGCCGAGCATGTTCTTTCCAATTGGGGCCTTCGTAAACCAGTACTTCTCACGGGGAGAGTAATTCAACTTCGGCCATTGAAAGAGGCGGTCGCACTGGCGGTCGCACTCTGGGTGCAGACGACTGATCATTCTATGGACCGAAAAGACTTGGCTTGCGTTCTGGATGCGGCCAGCTGGTGCGGCAATGGCGCCCAGCTGGTGATTCTTCTGGGCGAAGTCCGTACCGAGCTTGATGTAATCATCACCATTGTCGTCTTTGAGGAAGACCAGATCTTCCTTCCTCATGATGCTTTGCAATTCGCGGCTGCGGATGCCGAAGTGGAGGGTGACATAGAACCACACCTGCTGGACAAGGCACTTGGCGACCTTCTTTGTGTCGAATAGGTAGTTAATCTTGTTCATGTCACTTTCGGTAATAATGTCCTTGTGAGCAATGGGGCTCATCTCACCTTCTCTCTTCAGTTTCTTTATCATTCCGTCGAACGTGTCGTTCGCGCGGCGAAACTCTGAGTCCTTGAATATGTTGAAATCCCATCCGAGATCATTTAAATGCCTCTGTATGCCTGACTGGAATCCTTTTTTCGAGTTGTACTGGTACGTGTCACCCTTGTGCGTCCTCATTCCGACGTAACACTTACAAAGCACATGGTCGAGGTCATCTTTGGAGCATGCTTTTAGGTCCAACGTCAAACTAGATTTCTTCATGAATGTTTCAAAAACAGACACCCAGATGTTCGTACTGTCCCTTGTACTCTTCGGCGTACGATCCGCTATCACGGAGTCTACATCGACATCGGTCACGGAAGCAAAACGTTTAGGGGCGGGTTCAGCCATTTCGGGACAGGGAAAATAGATGAGAGATGTATTTGAAGCATTGGTTGAATGTACAAGACGAAAAATGTATCGTTTCCTGTATAAACGGAAGACAGCGACGTAGGTGAGGAGATGGACGGAAAGCAGTATCGTCTGTGTACTATTCTTGCCTTGCTACAACCAATGCTGACATGCATGTACCTGGTAGTGCTGGACAAAACCTTAGTACATGCACATGCGCGCCGCAATGCTATTTGACTCCTGATCTTGACCGGCTCACTGCTGATCTTGACCGGCTAAGCGGTCAAGATCGTCTGATCTTGACCACTTATTCTGTCGGCCCATTGGCTGTCACCTGGCAACAAGCATGTGCCATGTATGAATACATTGAATTAGCCGAAACAATTGTGTCCATTCCATCAAGAGTACATAACCCCCAAGAGTGTGCAACTCCAGCTATGGGGTGTGCGTCACACGCGACGGCAGGACTTCACATCACATGACGAACTCGTACCAATTATTTGAACCCTGTGCGTAATAGAGTGCTTTGGGTTCAGCTCTCTTGTGGTCACTTTGCACTGCTTGCCAGCATGACCTAGTGAACCATGTCACGTGATGTGGAGTTCTGTCGTCACAGCACCGGATAGTTATGCAGGCACGTGCACACTCTGGTGGCAGGGGTTATGTACTCTCGATTCCATTGACATTCCTAGCCAGGCCAGGCAAGCCTTGAGCGGTTCCTGCATTGTCAACTGACGACAAAGGTCGACAGTGAAGGCTCCATGCACGGAAAGAATTTCTACGGCGCATGTGGCGGGCGGGTCACAACTGATGATTAATTAAATGAAGGTGCAATGGTCCCAGAATGTAATCAACTATAGAGTGAAGCTGTTCATGAGATCTCCAAAATGTGCTCCCCATGCACAGGTGCCCCTCTCATCCAACGTCATATGATTAGAAACGGCTCTCTGGTCTTGGTTTTAGCAGGGTTATAGCCAGGACAAAATTGTGGGGGGGGGGGGCACGGGGAAACAAAGAGTTCAACCATTTTTTCTAATGTTCCACTACAAAGATGCCATGTTTACAGTCTACAATAGCAGCAGACTAGCTGACAGAGCACTGCTGTTACTCTACATGTGTCTGTCTGTCTGTGTCTGTGCATGCATGTGTGTCTGTCTGTCTGTCTGTCTGTTTGTCTGTCTGTGTGTGTTTTTTTCAGGATTCAGAACGTCGGTCACCACTGCATGCTGCCGCCCATGTGGGCGATAGCGAGTGTGTTAGCCTATTGATTTTGAATGGTGAGCTGGTTACTGGATGCACACAGTTAGTGGTACACTTGTACTTCCTGCCTTTGTTTTCCATGGTCCTGATTGTAGTGTTTCTCCACTCGTTATCTCGCTAACCTTCTTGTGTGAGGAGACAATGTTGCTATCTACGTGTACTGCATTGCAAGATTTTTGAAGCATGTCGCTTTAGGCATTCTGTAGCACTCTTTTGTGGTGTGTTGATTTCCTGAATGCGTGTCCATTTGTGTGTGTGTGTGTGTGTGTGTGTGTGCACGTGTGTGTGTGTGCGTGTCTGTCTGTCTCCCTGTCTCTCTGTCTGTCTGTCCTTACACAATACCCTAGGCGCGCGAGTTAACTGCAAGGATAACCGCTGGTTAACACCTTTGCACCGCGCTTCGGCTTCAGGTCATGATGTAAGTCTACAAGTGGACAACCTACAGTGTAGTACTACTGCTGTAGTACATATACCATCATGCTTATTGAGCAGTGATTATGTGCCTCACGCCAGCATTGCCACCTGGACTCCATGAAGAGATCAATGATGGTGCAATAGATGAAACAGGCGATTTGGAACACGGTGGTGCGTGTGTGTGTGTGGGGGGGGGGGGGGGGTGCATAATTATGATGATGACAGAGAGTAGAAAGACAAACCATAGGTCATCAATTACGACAAGAGACCTCTGGTGATGATCTTGCTGCTTTGTAATGAATGTCAAGAGTACATAATCCCCAAGAGTGTGGAACTCCAGCTATGGAGTCTGCCACGGCAGAACTTCACATCACGTGACCAACCCGTACACATTATTTGCAGCCTGTGCATGATAGATGCAGGGTTGTACGCAGCCCTGCTTTGGGCTCAACTCTCTTGTGGTCACGTTGCACTGTTTGCCAGCGTAGCCTTTGGAACCATGGCACGTGATGTGATGGTCTGCCGTCGTAGCACTGTATGGAGGTTATCCAGGCAGTTGCACAGGGAGTTGCACACAGTCTTGGGGGTTATGTACTGTTCTTAATATCAAGAGTCCATTGTCCCCTGGGGGGATTATGGACTCTTGATAATATCTATAGTCCGTGGCCGGGTCATCAAATGGCTCACACCAGGCCGTCAACCAGTCTATAGTTGTCGACATCCTAGGCTCGTTCACGCCAGAGCATTGCTCACCTTGTCATGAAGCCCAAGAGTTTGGAGTTGGATTAGATTTGATCAAAGCTCTGTGAGCTGAAAAATAGAGAGGTTGATTCGAGATGGAATCATGAGTGTGCACATCGAGATGATGGTGGCTGTAGTCGGATGTTGTGCCTGGCAGAACATAGAGCTGTGATACTGGTGAGTGGCTCCTGCGTTATCAACTGACCATGTGTACTTCACATACGGTAGTAATATGGCGGAGATCTGGCTTTCAGCAATCCCACCGTCAGTAGGAAGGTGGTCTTGTGATTGGGCCAGGATTGGCTTGCCGCTAAGCAATGGTAGATCGACGGCAGATGGATTGTGTTCACCGTGTTCTGTGTACACACGGCCACTGCTACGTTGACTGTAGCATGGAGACGGCTTGATAACAATTGCTCTTGAGCCCTGCGTGGACTGGTGTCTGTGATTGTCGTTTTGGACAGTTTGTGTGCCTGTGTATTTGTGTTTGTGTATGTGAGTGTGTGTGTGTGTTTGTGTATGTGAGTGTGTGTGTGTGTGTGTGTGTGTGTGTGTGTGTGTGTGTGTGTGTGTGTGGTGGTGGTGGTGGTGGTGGTGTGTGTGTGTTTGTACATGTGCTGTCGCACTGTGTATTTGCAGGAAGTTGTGCGAACATTGCTGAAGCACTCGGCTGATGCTACTGCTCGCGACAAGAATTGGCAGACACCACTGCATATAGCAGCGAACAATAACCATGTCATGTGCGCCGAGGTTTTAGTCCCATTCGTCAATAGCTTGAACATCACGGATCGTGCTGGTCGAACAGCACTGCATCATGCTGCTTATGAAGGTCACGTGGAGGTACGTGTTCTTAGTAACTTCTTACCTAACTCCCCAGAGTGTGGAACTGCCCATGGGTAGCGGACACAACTCATTTTCAGAATTACACCATTTTTATAACGTGATCAGCTTGATGCCTGCATTCAAGGTGCAAGCTTGGCCGCTACAGGCAACATAGTTTTATGTACAGTCAGGGGCATTGCATCACGAACCAACGATGTAGCTTTGAAAATGACTGTGTTTGATGGTTGTAGATTAGACGGGGATGGAGAGGTCGTTGGATGTCAGTATCACATCAGTCAGTGGTGTGCTAATTGTTGCACGTTCTGACTCACTACTATCCTGCTTATAATTGTTAGTGTTGGGCACAACGGATAACTTGTGAACTTTTGGTCTTCTCTTTTTAATTTCAAAGATTGTACAGGTATGTGGTGTTTCACACTCTGGGTAGCTATGTACTCTTGGTGTTATTCGCTGTGGTAATGTGTATTCCATACTTGGCTTCTGTTTGCTCTTCTAGATGGTGTCGCTCCTTTTGGCCAAAGGTGCCCAAAGCAATGCTTCTGACCGCAAGGATCGACGACCTCTTCATTGGGCAGCTTACCGAGGTGAGTACATGTACCACATTTGCAGGGGCGTGGCTGGTCCCCCTTTTAGGGGAGGGGAGGGGGGGGGGGGGGGGTGCACGGCCGCATATGTGTAGGAAGGCTGTTGCATGTCATTCATGGTCTTTGTGTGCATACTGAACCTAGGTCGAAATTTTAGGGGGGGGGGGGGCACGTGCGTGCATTTGCCAGCGTATAGTGCGCCCTTTCAATGCACTAGTTCAGGCTAACCATGTTCTTACTCATGTAGTGTGATGTAGTGTGTGAGAGTATGATGTAGTGTGTGAGGCAGTGTGTGAGTGTGATGTAGTTGATGGTGGCAGTGGTGAGCCTGTCACATTTTGCACTACATTGTAATGAACAAGGAGTACAATTTCATTGCTAGTTCCTGTTTCTTGTGATGGGGTTGTCAGATACATGTACCCTTAGTCGTGGCAACACGTTATGACCGTTTTAGTGCTATTTTCAATACTGATGCCATTGTTGTGATATGGTTTTAATGCTATTTTCAACGCTATGATGATGTTCTTTATTGGGTTCATGATACTTTGTTTAGGCAGTTACTTCATTGATGCTGGCCAATATCCGAATTGTTTGTGACTTCACAAGCTGTTTCTGGTGCTGTGTGTGGGTGTTGTGCTTGGAGCATAGTCAGAACAGGGGCGTAACTAGGTCATGGTGTATGTACCTCACGAACTGTGAGGCTTGGTGAGGTCCACAGCCTGACCATGTACTCGTACGTGTTGTGTGCTTGTGCGCTTGTGCGCTTGTGCGGATACATGTGGAGGCATGTTTGTGCGTGCATGTTTGTGTGTGTGTGTGTGTGTGTGGCTGTGCGGATGCGTATGTGCATTATTGGTGTGTATATGAATATGTGTTGTTTCAGGTCACTGTGACTGTATTCTAGCTCTGATTGAGAATGGCAACTTGAACGTTCAAGACAAGGAGGTATGGTTGCTGTGCCTTGACTCCTCTAGACTAAAGCCTGTCCAGGAACAGTTCTACTTCTCAATTTGTGAAAGGACAGGCGGCAGCCCACTATGACGTTGTGTACTTTCTATGTGTCATCAATTCAAGTTCTCAGTTGGTTTCACTAGCAACCATTGTTAATGGTACTGAACTTGACAGAAAAACCTCACAATCAATCACTACTGATAAAGTCACTACCAGTATTTAGTCGATTTAGTATTCACGAATTCGGGGCACCTGAGAAATCGACACCTTTGACTCGCTTCTACTCTCTAACATACGTGTATTTTGATCAACTAAATGCTGATTTGTTAGATGTAGAGGTTGTGCGATTGCTGATTGTTGCACTTATGTGTGCGTTGTGTGTTTCCTCCATGCTGTCTGTTGTCCCATGCAGATGTACACTGCTCTTCATGCAGCTGCAGCCAATGGGCAGGTGCATGCCTTGAAACTGCTGTTGGACCTGGGCGCTGAGGTATGTATATAGACGATATGCACTGTTTTCGTATCATCACGAGCGTGTCTTGCTCCAGCCAGGTATGAATTTCATGCAGTGTGAGTCAACCAGCGGCGGGCACTGTGCATCCCCGGGTCTGTTAACACTGGGATGTGCCAGGTCTATAAACACTGGGCTGTGCCAGGTCTGTATACACTGAGCTGTGCCAGGTCTATAAACACTGGGCTGTGCCAGGTCTATAAACACTGGGCTGTGCCAGGTCTATAAACACTGGGCTGTGCCAGGTCTATAAACACTGGGTTGTGCCAGGTCTATAAACACTGGGCTGTGCCAGGTCTATAAACACTGGGTTGTGCCAGGTCTATAAACACTGGGTTGTGCCAGGTCTATAAACACTGGGTTGTGCCAGGTCTATAAACACTGGGCTGTGCCAGGCCTATAAACACTGGGATGTGCCAGGTCTATAAACACTGGGCAGTGCCAGGTCTGTAAACACTGAGCTGTGCCAGGTCTATAAACACTGGGCTGTGCCTGGTCTATAAACACTGGGCTGTGCCAGGTCTGTAAACACTGAGCTGTGCCAGGTCTATAAACACTGGGCTGTGCCTGGTCTATAAACACTGGGTTGTGCCTGGTCTATAAACACTGGGTTGTGCCAGGTCTATAAACACTGGGTTGTGCCAGGTCTATAAACACTGGGCTGTGCCAGGTCTATAAACACTGGGTTGTGCCAGGTCTATAAACACTGGGTTGTGCCAGGTCTATAAACACTGGGATGTGCCAGATCTATAAACACTGGGCTGTGCCAGGTCTGTAAACACTGAGCTGTGCCAGGTCTATAAACACTGGGCTGTGCCTGGTCTTTAAACACTGGGCTGTGCCAGGTCTGTAAACACTGAGCTGTGCCAGGTCTATAAACACTGGGCTGTGCCTGGTCTATAAACACTGGGTTGTGCCAGGTCTATAAACACTGGGTTGTGCCTGGTCTATAAACACTGGGCTGTGCCAGGTCTATAAACACTGAGCTGTGCCAGGTCTATAAACACTGGGCTGTGCCTGGTCTATAAACACTGGGCTGTGCCAGGTCTATAAACACTGAGCTGTGCCAGGTCTATAAACACTGGGCTGTGCCTGGTCTATAAACACTGGGCTGTGCCTGGTCTATAAACACTGGGCTGTGCAAGGTCTATAAACACTGGGCTGTGCAAGGTCTGTAAACACTGGGCTGTGCAAGGTCTATAAACACTGGGCTGTGCCAGGTCTATAAACACTGGGCTGTGCCTGGTCTATAAACACTGGGCTGTGCAAGGTCTATAAACACTGGGCTGTGCCAGGTCTATAAACACTGGGCTGTGCCAGGTCTGTAAACACTGGGCTGTGCAAGGTCTATAAACACTGGGCTGTGCCTGGTCTATAAACACTGGGCTGTGCCAGGTCTATAAACACTGGGCTGTGCCTGGTCTATAAACACTGGGCTGTGCCAGGTCTGTAAACACTGAGCTGTGCAAGGTCTATAAACACTGGGCTGTGCCAGGTCTGTAAACACTGAGCTGTGTGCATCCCCTGAAGGGGCTGCTACTCAAGCTCCGACTTCAGTACATACACATAGTAATGTCCAGCCGTATGGGATACCACTGTATGCGGCAGCTTGCTTTTGCTCTCGTGTATGTTCTGTGCAGCTTGAGCCACGCAATGTGTATGGCAACACACCACTACATGTAGCTTGCCATAATGGCCAGGACATTGTCGTCAATGAGCTGTTGGCATACGGAGCGGAGATCAATGCTACCAATAACAAAGGCCAGGTGAGTCGTGCGGCGGGTTGTTAGCCACTGGTCTATCCTTACCTCCTTCACCTTTCCTGTACCTCTTTTTTTTGGCCTTGAGGCCATATGTGGACGGTCAAAGAATGAGTGCATTGTGTGTGTGTGTGTGTGTGTGTGTGTGTGTGTGTGTGTGTGTGTGTGTGTGTGTGTGTGTGTCTGTGTGTGTATGCACGTGTGTGTGTACGTGTGTATATGTGTGTGTGTGTGTTTGCTTGTATTGTGGGTATCGTGCACCTCGTCTGCTTTATTCTTCCTACACTGCAGACACCTCTCCACTATGCTGCTGCATCGAATCACGGTGCTCTCTGCTTAGAGCTGCTGGTGTCTGAAGGTGCTAACCCCAACATTCAGGTTAGTTCCAAAGTCGCTGTGTAGGCGTATTGTTGGCAGGTGACTGTCGTTTGGCATGAAACTCGGAGTTACAACAAACAACTCTTTCCATGCTGTCTACACTGTGCAGTCGCAGTGTAAGTATACTACGGATTTTCCCTGTCTGGTCAGCCAAGACATATTCGGCTGCAATAGTTTCAGACATCGGGGCTAGTTTACAATTATATGCCGCTTGTATGTTTGTGTGTAAGCACACATGTATTGATGTTGGTATAGCTGATGTGTGTAAGCACACATGTATTGATGTTGGTATAGCTGATGTGTGTAAGCACACATGAGTACATCCAGACGTGACCTGATTCATACGTTAGAGAGGTTCCGCACTACGTAAAGTTGGGCAACTTTACGTTAGTGGGCGGGAAAAAAACCGTGAATTCGTGAGTTTGCACTCCACTTACGGAAAGTTGTCTACGTAGAGTACGTAGATCGGACTCTGATAACGCAGCTGGTCCGTAAGTGGATTGGGGTACAAATTGATGACTCTCTCCCCAGATCGATCTGGTCGTACACTGCCGCGTTCGGAGTTGCCAAGGGCAGCTACGTGATTTGAAAACTCCGTATGGCGGAACACAGATGCGCATGCAGTTTACGTAAGACTTTCCGTAGATCGATTCCTTTTTTTACTAACGTAATTACGTTATGCGGAACCTCTCTATTGTAGGTGAATTTGCATCAACAATTATGATTGTGAACATCAAGTTGACTTGGTGTGTATTGTCACGATTACCCATGACCAATGAGACATTGCTGTTGCTCTCCTTGTCCTTACCGTTCTTGTCGTCCTCGTCATCATCATCATCATCATCATCATCACCGTTATTGTGCAGTCCAATGATGGAAGAACACCTCTACACGTGACGGCCCTCCATGGCTTGTACACCCGAGCTACTGCTCTTGTGCGACACAGTACGTTGTTTTATGATCTTGTTTTGTTCAGTGTGCTGCCATGTGGGGAGGGGACTACTTTCTATTTCTTTTGTCTTTTCTTCTGCATTTGTTTTGTATATCTATTCTCACTACTCAATCTGTGGACAGCATGCTGTTTCGTTCTTTGTGAACTCCTCAGCGCAGCACAGAGAAAGTGAGGCCGAACCTGATAGCAATGAAAATAAAATTTCCAAAGCCAGATTTAAATCAGGCCCGAACGTACCTTGCCAGAGTGCTCAAACTGACAAGTCAGCGAGCTCTGCGTATATCTATTCTCACAATGGATCAGGGTAAAACAAGAAGCGTTGTTACTGCTGATGCTGCTGTCGTTCATCATCATTGTCACTGTCACCTTGTGCATTTTCCTTCTACAGACGCTGATGTGAATATCTCTGATAAGCAAGGAAACACACCCATTCATATCGCGGCACGCTATGGCCATGAGTTGCTAGTGGAGATGCTCTTGCATTCCGGAGCTGAAGCTAATCGGTTAGTAGCACTGCGGCCTGCATGCCTTGCAGACACTTAAGGCAAGTTTGGGCATGTTCCATTGGTAGGATTCGGACCTAGATCAACCGGATCCACTGGATTCGCACCCTTTCGATTGGTCGAATCCAGATTCGGATCCAACGGATTCGGATCCGGCCAACCCACCTCGGGGAGCAGGGTTGACCGGATCCAATCGAACGAATGTGGAGTTTTCATGCCAAAACTGTTGATTGGCAAAAAAGAATCCGCTGGATCCGGTCGACCCTGCTCCCCGAGGTGGGTCCAAATCCGTCGGATCCGAATCCAGATTCGACCAATCGACAGGATGCAAATCCAGTGGATCCAGTGGATCTGGTTGATCTAGTTCCGGGATCCTACCAATCGAACATGCCCAAGGGTTATTGCTGATGAAAGTCATGATTCATGAAACAACCCCATGGCACTGGAAGTACTTGCAGTGATCTTTTATCAGTTTCTAAATTTCTTGCTCCCTGGCTATCGCCAGGTTCACTGATGATAAATCCTGTTTGAAAATGACCATACTTCATGTATATAGCCATATGGGTAGGCTACAGTATGGTAAGCTACGTCTCTGACTTGCTATTAGAATTGCATTCTACAGTCACGTAATGTGTGCATGAGAGATCAAACTGACAGATAAGGGAAGAAGCTGTGACACTGCTTGGATGAAGAGCCCTATCTTGTATCTATTTGTGATGCCTGCTGGCTGAGAGAGTTCTTGTTCCTGATTGAATGTGTTCTATTTTTTGTTTCTCTGTTGTAGACGAGGTCCAAGTGGTATGACTCCGCTGCATCTAGCATGTCTAAACGGCCACACCGACTGCTGTAGAACGTTGCTGGGCGTGTGCGATGACGTGTCGGCTAGAGACAGCAACGGTCGCACTCCCCTGCACGGTGCAGCGTGCTCCGGGTGAGTGCATGTGCAGGCATGTGTACTGTTGTTTTGTTCCCGTTTGTACAGTGACCCACCGACAAAGCATGTTACGGTGCTGAAACCATGTAAGGCACTGTCCCTCTCAACCCAGGACCTTTCTGAGGCAGAATCTGATCATATGTGTGTGGGCTGATACACATTTAGGCATTGCTACTGATACGGCTTGTTTTTTTTTCTAGTCCCATTTTCCGTACAGAAAGGTATTTCTTCCACTGTCTGACTCTGATGTCCTATCCGTAACAAACTCAATCTTACCTCCAATATATGTGTTGTTTGCACAGCCAGAATTGACGTCTTGGGTGGGTGTGTGCGTGTGTGTGTGTGTGTGCGTGCGTGCGTGCGTGTGTGCTTGTGTGAGTGTGCGTGTGTGTGCACATGCTTGGATTTGTGTTGGTTTTGGTATGCCCACACATCTGTGTGCGGTTGGTTATCCTTGTCACTACAGCAATATGGACCTAGTTGACTTGTTGATTGAGCATGGAGTTGGAGTGAATGAGAAGGACAACCTTGGAAAGTAGGTGCTTTGCAGAAAACTTCTCTTCTGTCTAGCTGGAATGTTGAAAAAATTCTTCCTGGAAATATCCATAGTGCCTGTCACAGAGTTGAGCAAAAATAGTAAAATGGCTTGCAGGATTTCCCAGGTTGTTTTTAATTATTGCTGGGCCGGTGGAATGAGGTTAGAAGTAGTCTGACTGGGGAGAAGGGTCATGTCCCCTGGGAAAATTGAAGAATGGCCCGAACAGTACAATGTTATAGGCGATTCACACGACAGGCACATCCATGTTTACAGGAAAATCACCATGGAGATATTCCTGCGGACGACCAAAATTTGTCCGCGGGAATCAAAAGTGTCCATGGCCTTTTCGCCCGCGGATGCACTCATCTGCGGGCACTTTTGCAGTTATGAGCCTGTGAGGCCGATCCAAGCCTGCGCGGCTCTACTTGCTACGAAACATGTAACAGTGCGGAAATCGCGCAGACCTTCGAGTACAACAGCAGTTTTGGCATGAATGAAAATCATGCTACCCTACACTACCCTTTACTACGCTAGGCTACAGTTAGAACCCCGTACCATGTAGCCGGCCCGGCCCTGGCCCGACCCGCGGATACTACGTGTATGTACATGTTGTTAGGTTGACAGGATGTTCCAAGGTGGAACCAAACAACATGCACCCTCCTGTGAAAGAGTGGCGCCCCCCTACTGATTTGCCGATTTTGTGTTTTCATGCCATTCAACAAAAATGCGGTCGATATTCTGTAACAGAGGGTTCATAGAGGCACACTTGTCTGGGGTGAAGTCGGGGGTTCGCCCTGTACGTTGCATTTGATATGGGAAGGCAATTTTGGAAACTGGAAAAATGGGTTATGGGGTAACTGTTTTGTGTTTTCCCTGCCCCCCCCTACTATTTTGACCTGGCTAGAACCCTAAAGTGTATGTGTGTGTGTGTGTTGTGGACTGTCTGCAGGACTCCACTGCACTATGCAGCATGCCACACCAAGTATAACTGCGTGCTGACACTGGTGTCTCAGTGCGAGGATATCAACTCTGCCGATGAGACTGGTTGTATGCCACTGCACTATGCAGCAGCCAACGACTCCGAGTCTAAGTAAGAGTTTTAAACATACCGCTGCACATGCTCAGTGCTAGTGCTAGCTGTAGGATAGACCAGTTCATGGTCAACCCCGGTCGTATGCGTTGGGTTTAGCGCTCTGCTACTTTGTAGTGCAGAATAGCTACAGTGAAGTTTGGATATAGCTACCTCGCATATAAAAACTTTGAGGTTTCAGCTACTGTCGTGGACATGGCAATCCGGTCGCAGGTCAAGCGGCCCAAGGGCGCTGGCCATACAGCCATGAGTACACATATAGTACACACATTCAGTTTGGCTGGTCGCATCGGATCAAAACGTGCACTGCATGCATCGTTCTGTACGCTCTGAGGGCACCGGCCCCGGTCATTCGACCAGATTTCCATGTGCACGACAGTAGTTTCTGTTGCCCAAGTCTCGTAATAAGTCCTTTCCAAAGGTCAGGTTTAGCGACTTTTGCGGCTAGCAAGTTACTTTCTTTCCATGTGGATGGTTGAACCTTTCCTGCAAACTGTGTCAACACATGGTCTCTGCAATACTGTATTCACCGCTGTTGAAGGGCAGTGGTGTAGCATTGAGGGAGTGTGCGCTGCAAATTCCACCTACTTGTACATTTTAAAGTCCGAACAATGGAGGTTTGTCAGATCTTGTTTCTGTTTGGTGTTTAATCTTACCCCTCTTAGTTCTTACCTGACTAGATGTGTGTATACCAGGAATTGCTTGACTCCCCTCAACACCTGTATGTCTTTTGTGTGTGTATGTGGCTTCATCTAGAGTTGTGGCCCACTTGCTGATGAACAAGGCCACTCCGACTCTACGCGACAAGAAGGGCTTCTCGCCTGTGCATTATGCCGCTCGGTTTGGCCACACGTTAACGCTGCAGATGGTAGGTGTGCATCGTCGTGTGTAGCACTGCTGTGTCACTGCCGGTCTGTGCAACGTGGCAGAGTTTGTTCTTGTTGGTGCGTGTGCTTTGCAAAGGGTATCGAGCAGTAGTGCCCTGTGCCGTTCAACCTCGGTGTCATCAGGCGCGATTTTATTAGAACACTAGTACTTGAGCGGGCACAACTGATGTTGATACGGAAATCATTTCACGTGCGAGGGACTACGCTACTTGGCAGTATCTGCAATTCTGAGCGTAACACCATAGCTTTCATGAAACCAGCACGGGGAAGGTGTAGCACTTGACTTGGTCTGGCAGGTCTTATGTGCATCTTTTACTTATTTTACTTGATTGCTATGGCTGAGGGCATGAAAGAGGTTGGTGTTCTAGGCTGGCCGGGTCAATCGCGGCAGGAGTGTTGTGTTGTGCGTCTGAAATCGCTTTTGATACGTTGTTTTGCTGCTTGTTTTGTTTGTCAGCTACTGGATGTGAGCACAGCAGACACTATGCCCCGGCAGGGTGCACCCGCTACAACTCCTTTGCATCTTGCAGTAAGTGGCACGGTCTGCTTATCTTGCCTTACCTGTGGCTTTTTTTAGTAAACACGCATTGCTTTCGTATAAGGACGTTTTGCCAGCACCATGCTGCAAGTTACTTGGTCTGGCCAGTCCCTGCCCACTCACACATGTTAGTTACTTGGTCTGGCCAGTCCCTGCCCACTCACACATGTTAGTTAGTTGGTTTGGCCAGTCCCTGCCCACTCACACATGTTAGTTAGTTGGTTTGGCCAGTCCCTGCCCACTCACACATGTTAGTTAGTTGGTCTGGCCAGTCCCTGCCCACTCACACATGTTAGTTAGTTGGTCTGGCCAGTCCCTGCCCACTCACACATGTTAGTTAGTTGGTCTGGCCAGTCCCTGCCCACTCACACATGTTAGTTAGTTGGTCTGGCCAGTCCCTGCCCACTCACACATGTTAGTTAGTTAGTTTGGCCAGTCCCTGCCCACTCACACATGTTAGTTAGTTGGTTTGGCCAGTCCCTGCCCACTCACACATGTTAGTTAGTTGGTCTGGCCAGTCCCTGCCCACTCACACATGTTAGTTAGTTGGTCTGGCCAGTCCCTGCCCACTCACACATGTTAGTTAGTTGGTTTGGCCAGTCCCTGCCCACTCACACATGTTAGTTAGTTGGTCTGGCCAGTCCCTGCCCACTCACACATGTTAGTTAGTTGGTTTGGCCAGTCCCTGCCCACTCACACATGTTAGTTAGTTGGTCTGGCCAGTCCCTGCCCACTCACACATGTTAGTTAGTTGGTTTGGCCAGTCCCTGCCCACTCACACATGTTAGTTAGTTGGTTTGGCCAGTCCCTGCCCACTCACACATGTTAGTTAGTTGGTTTGGCCAGTCCCTGCCCACTCACACATGTTAGTTAGTTGGTCTGGCCAGTCCCTGCCCACTCACACATGTTAGTTAGTTGGTTTGGCCAGTCCCTGACCACTCACACATGTTAGTTAGTTGGTCTGGCCAGTCCCTGCCCACTCACACATGTTAGTTAGTTGGTTTGGCCAGTCCCTGCCCACTCACACATGTTAGTTAGTTGGTTTGGCCAGTCCCTGCCCACTCACACATGTTAGTTAGTTGGTTTGGCCAGTCCCTGCCCACTCACACATGTTAGTTAGTCGGTTTGGCCAGTCCCTGCCCACTCACACATGTTAGTTAGTTGGTCTGGCCAGTCCCTGCCCACTCACACATGTTAGTTAGTTGGTTTGGCCAGTCCCTGCCCACTCACACATGTTAGTCAGTTGGTCTGGCCAGTCCCTGCCCACTCACACATGTTAGTTAGTTGGTCTGGCCAGTCCCTGCCCACTCACACATGTTAGTTAGTTGGTTTGGCCAGTCCCTGCCCACTCACACATGTTAGTTAGTTGGTCTGGCCAGTCCCTGCCCACTCACACATGTTAGTTAGTTGGTCTGGCCAGTCCCTGCCCACTCACACATGTTAGTTAGTTGGTCTGGCCAGTCCCTGCCCACTCACACATGTTAGTTAGTTGGTCTGGCCAGTCCCTGCCCACTCACACATGTTAGTTAGTTGGTCTGGCCAGTCCCTGCCCACTCACACATGTTAGTTAGTTGGTCTGGCCAGTCCCTGCCCACTCACACATGTTAGTTAGTTGGTCTGGCCAGTCCCTGCCCACTCACACATGTTAGTTAGTTGGTCTGGCCAGTCCCTGCCCACTCACACATGTTAGTTACCGTAGTTGGTCTGGCCAGTCCCTGCCCACTCACACATGTTAGTTAGTTGGTCTGGCCAGTCCCTGCCCACTCACACATGTTAGTTAGTTGGTCTGGCCAGTCCCTGCCCACTCACACATGTTAGTTAGTTGGTTTGGCCAGTCCCTGCCCACTCACACATGTTAGTTAGTTGGTCTGGCCAGTCCCTGCCCACTCACACATGTTAGTTAGTTGGTCTGGCCAGTCCCTGCCCACTCACACATGTTAGTTAGTTGGTCTGGCCAGTCCCTGCCCACTCACACATGTTAGTTAGTTGGTTTGGCCAGTCCCTGCCCACTCACACATGTTAGTTAGTTGGTCTGGCCAGTCCCTGCCCACTCACACATGTTAGTTTGTTGGTCTGGCCAGTCCCTGCCCACTCACACATGTTAGTTAGTTGGTTTGGCCAGTCCCTGCCCACTCACACATGTTAGTTAGTTGGTCTGGCCAGTCCCTGCCCACTCACACATGTTAGTTAGTTGGTCTGGCCAGTCCCTGCCCACTCACACATGTTAGTTAGTTGGTCTGGCCAGTCCCTGCCCACTCACACATGTTAGTTAGTTGGTCTGGCCAGTCCCTGCCCACTCACACATGTTAGTTACCGTAGTTGGTCTGGCCAGTCCCTGCCCACTCACACATGTTAGTTAGTTGGTCTGGCCAGTCCCTGCCCACTCACACATGTTAGTTAGTTGGTTTGGCCAGTCCCTGCCCACTCACACATGTTAGTTAGTTGGTCTGGCCAGTCCCTGCCCACTCACACATGTTAGTTAGTTGGTCTGGCCAGTCCCTGCCCACTCACACATGTTAGTTAGTTGGTCTGGCCAGTCCCTGCCCACTCACACATGTTAGTTAGTTGGTCTGGCCAGTCCCTGCCCACTCACACATGTTAGTTAGTTGGTCTGGCCAGTCCCTGCCCACTCACACATGTTAGTTAGTTGGTCTGGCCAGTCCCTGCCCACTCACACATGTTAGTTAGTTGGAAGGGCAGTCCCTGCCCACTCACACATGTTAGTTAGTTGGTCTGGCCAGTCCCTGCCCACTCACACATGTTAGTTAGTTGGTTTGGCCAGTCCCTGCCCACTCACACATGTTAGTTAGTTGGTCTGGCCAGTCCCTGCCCACTCACACATGTTAGTTAGTTGGTCTGGCCAGTCCCTGCCCACTCACACATGTTAGTTAGTTGGTCTGGCCAGTCCCTGCCCACTCACACATGTTAGTTAGTTGGTCTGGCCAGTCCCTGCCCACTCACACATGTTAGTTAGTTGGTCTGGCCAGTCCCTGCCCACTCACACATGTTCACATTGTTTATGCGTACTCGGTGACAACACCGTATCAGATGCACACGTTGTGGCAGTGGATACAGTAGTGTATATGTCTGCAGGTCTAGCCCACTCCTCAAGTCTCATAGTGAGTTCTATATTTCTGTAGGGTTCAGGAATTGGTCATTTGCGTACATGTATACTCAGCAAGCGAACAAGGGGGATTTTGCAATGATCAACTTCCAGGGCCTCAACACAATGTCTCTTAGGATTTTCGAAATTTTATGACATTGTATATTATGGGGCAACTTGTAAGTGATAGCTATATGCATGGGTGTTTGCATGCATGTGTGTGTGTCTGTGTATGTCTGTGTGCGTGTGTATGTGCGTGTATGTGCATGCATGTGTGTGTGTGTCTGTGTAAATGTGCAGGCATATCATGGCCATCATGATGCGCTGCTAGTCTTGATGCAGACAACTGTGAACTTGGATGTGCGTGATGAACATGGTAAGCCAGAGATGCTCTACCCCGTTTTACTGATCATAAGTCCACCTTGACAAACACAGACAGACAGCACCACGTGTGCAGTGCACCAGTCAGTCCGCCTAGTGCACTGCACACATGGCACTGACATTCTTGTGTTTGAGTTATGACGGCAATCCTCACCGCAGTGCAATTGTATTTCGAAGTACTGTTATTGTACTTGGTGCGTCCACCAATCGCCGTCCTAATAGTAGCCTTTTGTCTGGTCTGTGCCTTTGTTTCCCTCAGGGCGTACACCATTGGACTTAGCATCATTCCAGGGACACTCGTAAGTATTTCGTGCTCAGACCACCCAACTCCTAATTTTTGAAAACATAGAAAGTTTATGTGAACTTGGGATCTCATTCCTGGGTAGTGCTTTATGTTGATGTTGTCGATAAAAAAATTGGGTGTCGCCGATACACTTTGAGCAACATGAGGTGGTGCTTGGAGGTACGTCAATATGCAGTGGAGGTAACTGCCCTCAAAGCGGGGAGGAAGACGGGAGGAAATATCCGGTAAAAACAGCAGCCAAAATCATGGTGGTACTGGAGGACAGCCAGTAGCAGTGAAGACAAAGTGGTCACTAAGCTTCTAGATGGAAACTACGTATCCCATTGTGCTGCATAAGTGTTCAGGTAACTTACTGTATCTCCGTTCATGTAAGCACACAAGCGTGTACCTGGGTATAAGAGCATGAGCTAGTAAGCGAACTTTGTTGCGACTTGCGACATTTTGATATGAAAAGATAAGACCTGTACAACTACTTCCCACGGCGATCCAATCAAACACGGAAAAGACGGCATGAGTTTGACCTGCTTTTTCAGTGCAGAAAGTGCATGTCCGTATCATCTTTTCCTTTGTATGTGTGTGTGTCTGTGTGTTTGTGCTCATGTGTGTGTGTGCTCATGTGCATGTGCTCATGTGTGTTTATGCTCATGTGTGTTTGTGCTCATGTGTGTGTGTGCGCGCATGTGTGTTAATCTGTGCATGTGTGCTTTCAGGACGTGCGTAGAAGCTCTGTTGGTACGGACGGCAAGTGTGCTTGTTCGGGATGATGTCTCTCATCGTACTCCTCTCCATTCTGCTGGTAAGAGCTGTGCGTGTGTGTTTGTGGGGGGGGGGGGGGGGAGCTTTCCTATTGTGTATTCCGCTTTATAAGGACATGACTTTCACAGCAGTGTACCATCATCCCAGGAATATTTGTGTCTGTGTCTGTGTGTTTGTTCATGCTTGCATGGCTTGGTAAATGAACGTGTAGCTCAAAATGGCTATGGGTGTTCGCTGAAGATGCTGCTGGAAAATCTGGAGAGTGGTGATGATGTCAACTCTCAAGATACCCTTGGGTGGTAAGTGAAGTGTGCATCTATGTACGTGTGTGTGTGTCTGTGTGTGTGTGTCTGTGTGTGTGTGTCTGTGTGTGTCTGTGTCTGTGTGTGTGCATGTGTGCTGCTTCTACTAATGCTGCTGTCTACAACCCTTCCACTAGAACTGACCATTCACTTCCCTTTTCCATTCCCTCAACTTATGAATATTCTTGTTATTGTTGTACTGTTTGTATTTGTTTCGCTAGCACGCCACTCATGTTAGCGGTGACCAATGGTCATGTAGACTGTGTCGCGTCATTGATATTTCACTTAGCCAAGGTAGACATTCCCGATGAGGACGGGCACACAGCTTTACACCGGGCAGTAAGTCGACTGATTTTTGTTCCTTTTCATCATGTGCGTGCCTGCCAAACACTGCCAGATGCCTTTGTGTCCCTGTGCTGTGGTGTGGGTCTTGTTCCTGAAACATGAAATAATCACTGGCATATTGCATGGTCATGGAAATTGCAAGGTTTTTCGTTAACAGTACCATCTTCGTTAATATGTTGCATAAAAAGTGTTGTATGTAAATTGGTGCACTGCAACAATGAATAATAGATATCTGCCGTGCACCCGCTTACGTTACTCTGATGGAAAGTTGAAAAGGGATTGACGCTCAAGCGGTAGTTTTGAGGTATTTGTTTATAACTAGTTGTGGCCCTAGCTGCTGCTACAGCTCTGCTTACTTGGCTGTGTGATTGGTTGATTGGTTGACAGGCTGCTGCTGGTATTGAGGAGTGCATGGATACGCTGCTACAACAGCAAGTTAATGTCAACGTTAGGTATGTATGCACACCATTGTGACTAAGCTCTATGTCCGTATACTAGTACAGTGGCCCCTTTATAATCCAACACCATCAATGCTGCGGAAATGGTGCTGGATATGGGAGGGTGCTGGATTAACGCATCTAAGTTATTGGTGCAGCGGGCATAAATAGGACATTTCGGTCACCGAAAGTCGTGCTGGTGTTCACTGAGAGTACTAGTTTATAAAGTGCTGGATTAAAGAGGGCCGACTGTACCCAAACAATGCTCTTTGTCATCGATTGGCCATGATCAGTATTATGCATAGTGATATGTGTTCCGTGTACTATGCTAGTCCATCAACACAGTATGGAGAGGTGAGGCTGGACTTGACAGCTGTACAGATTATATCCGATTCCTATCTACTTCACTCTTTATGATCTTCACTGATAGCAGCATGCACACACACATGTAAGAAGTTTTGGTAGCCTGGCCTGATTGTAATGGTTGTTCCAGACACTACTGTAGCGTTGAGGAAACACTTCGTTTTCTGATTTCTTCCTGTGTGCTTGTGTGTGCACATGTATGATTCCGTGGGTGTGTGGCGTGTACATGTGCATGTGTGCTATTGTCCGGTGCAGTGACAAGCAAGGCCGTACTCCTCTGCACATTGCCGCCATGTGTGGTCAAGTGAGCATGTGGGGCGCACTCGTACAGGCCGACGCACAGTTCCTTGCAACAGACAAGCACGGCTACACTCCGCTGCACTGGGCGTGTTACAATGGTACGCTAGCTATGCTGCTGTGTGTGAGAGAGAGAGACAGAGAGAGAGAGACAGAGAGAGACAGAGAGAGAGAGACAGAGAGAGAGACAGAGAGAGAGAGACAGAGAGAGAGAGACAGAGAGAGAGACAGAGAGAGAGACAGAGAGAGAGAGAGAGAGAGAGAGAGAGAGAGAGAGAGAGAGAGAGAGAGAGAGAGAGAGAGAGAGAGAGAGAGAGAGAGAGAGAGAGAGAGAGAGAGAGAGAGAGAGAGAGAGAGAGAGAGAGGAGGGAGGGAGGGAGGGAGGGAGGGAGGGAGGGAGGGAGGGAGAGAGAGAGAGAATCCATTACATGTTTAGCTGTTCAATATCTCAACTCGAAATAGTGATAGCGACTTCGGCGATACTTTCATAGGAAAGGCTTTGTGGGGAGCAAATACTTTCCTATAATACTTCCACTACACATCATAATGCCAATGACAGTCATGCCAGCAGCTAACCTGTGTTTGTGAAGTGTGATCTTTCACAGACAAGGATGGTGCCATTCTTGTGTTTCTGTCATCTCAGTTGCAATGAGTTCTGCATCTGTGTGGGTGTCACTGTGCATGCATGTGTCTGTGTGTGTGTGTCTGTGTCTGTGTGTGCATGTGTATGTGTGCTTGCTGATTCAGGACATGAAAGTCTGGTGGAGATGTTAGTAGAGAGTGAAGGCAGTGTATTCTCTCAACCTGTTGGTAACCTCTTCTCACCACTGCACTGTGCATGTGTCAATGACCATGATGGATGTGCTGAGGTACGTGTCATCTCAACATGCAGCTATACAATCACATCTATACTCTACATGATACTGTAGTACTGTGTTACGATGCACTCGGGCGTGTAGTTGAACCTATACATTTGTATACATTCACACATATGACACACACACACACACACACACACACACACACACACACACACACACACACACGCGCGCAAACACACACACAAACACACACACACATACACACACAAACACACACACAAACACACACACAAACACACACACGCACACACACACACACACACACTCATATTCATACTCATACTCCTGCCCATCGGTGAAGCGATTATAGCGAACAAGCTGTGTAACACGTAGCAGTTACTTGTGCTGGGATTACACCATTCAACAGCTTGCAAGGCTGATGACTTGACCGCCACTAATTTTAGCCTGGTCTACACCACACGGCTGGTTGCAGTGGCTACACAACATACACACCACACACACACACACACACACAACACAACACATGCACGCGCGCGCGCGCACACGCACACACACACACACACACACACACACAGTCAACCGAGTGATCCTGTGAAAACTACGTAACTGTGCGACATCAATATGCTGTCATTGATAGGTTAAGTGTTGGCAATGACGATACAAGAAAATTCTGGTTTTGATGAAAGGAACCTCCGAGATAGCGCCGGTTGGACATTGTAGCAATGCATGAGTAAATAAGCTTTCCAGAAAGTGCAATGCGTATGGATTCACTGGCGGCCAACACCACTTCACATACATGTAACTGCTTCAAGCACGCTCTGTACTCTACTGTACTGTGTGCAAGGGAGGTTGGCTGATGCGCACAGTCTATTATGTCTAGGCTTGATGATTGCATGATGTACTTGGAAGAAGTAGACCCGCAGCTGCATCAGTGTACTGTGAATTGCTGGAGTACGCCGCCGCCACCATACATACTTCCAAGTATGTGCATTCTGTGTGTGTGTGTGTGTGTGTCCTGCAGGTGTTGATTGACTCGCTGTCCGAAGACCTGGTTAGTTGGCGTGATCATCGCGGTCGCCATGCGCTGCATGCGTCTGTGTGCGCACCCACCACTGGCTGTCTGCAACTGCTGACCACGGGCAAGAACTTGCTGTTGAACACAGCAGACAATGATGGCATGTCCCCGCTCATGTTAGCTGCTCGCAATGGAAAGACACAGCATTGTGGTACGTTGCTAGTACATGTACTGCATTGTTGTATTCGAACAGCCCCCTGTCGTTATTCTCTCCCTAGGACCTGTTTTCTTTCTCTCTATTCCCGTTTCTCCGCTGTGTTAGTTAGCAAGAAATGCTGTGTACAATTGTGTATTGTGGAATATGTTGACTGCTGCTAGTTTGCCTGCTGTGGTCAATGCCTCAGTAACACATGCTTTGTGTGTGCATGTGCATCCATGTGTGTGTGCATGCGTGCGTGCGTGTGTGTGTGTGTGTGTGTGCCTTCATGTGTGCGTGCCTGTGCGGTGTGTGTGTGTGTGTGTGTGTGTGTGTGTGTGTGTGTGTGTGTGTGTGTGTGTGTGTGTGTGTGTGTGTGCCTTCATGTGTGCGTGTGTGTGTCTCTCTATCTCTCTCTGTCTGTCTGTGTACATGGTGTGTGTGTCTGTGTATGTACATGTGTATTGTACATGTGTATGTACATGTGTCTGTACATATGTGTGTGTCTGTGTCTGTGTGTGCGTGCACTGTGCTATGTTCGCTGGCCTCCTGTCACTGTACAGAGCTTCTGATCGCGTGCAGTGACATCAACGTAGACGTGAGCAGTCTGTCCGGTGATACTGCTCTCAGCTTAGCTTGTACACAGGTGGGTGTTCTGGCACTGGCACTGGATGATGGGGGGAATTGAAGTTCCCGATGGCTTGTCCATCATCGATTCTTTTGTGAATGCTTGGTACTTGCACAACCCTAGAGAACGCCTGGCATGATTTCCTGTTTGTCATGTTTGAAACGGACCTTTGTGAAGAACTTGCAACTACTCCTGTTGATTATTATCAGCGATACCATTGCCACTAAAAATTAAAAGTCAATCTTACAAGGCTACCTGTCCACATACTTGAAAAGAGGTATTATTATTTATTTATATTATCAGCTTTTTCACGTTGACATCACCAAGCAAGCTTGGCTAGCCTTCGCATAAGCCGAATAGAATGAAGAAATTTAATGAGGAACGAGCGGGTCAATGACGTGCACTGCAACTGCAAAATAGGCAGCACAGGAACATAGGGAGACAGTCCTAAAAACACACAACATTTCAAGTAGGCCATAGGTCTGAAGAAAATGTTGGGCGGCCGCTGCTTGGATGACGACTACACCATAGCTTGGTGGTAGAGCATCGCTGGCCATAAGCGAGGGCTCCTGGTTCGAGTCCTGGTGGTGACAGCCAATTCTTTCTTCAGACTTTTCCCGTTGCAACTTTCCCTCAGACTGATGAATAGGTCATAGGTATTAAACCTTTTTCCTCTGTGCTGACATTCCCCGAACTGTCTCTTGTCTCACTGGCACGTGTGATATGAGCATGCGTGATTTCACAGGTAGGTGGTGTGTCTGGAGTCTTGTCTTTTCAAGTCTTCTTCTTCGTCTCTTTGGTTGTAGCCACTGTTTTTCATCATGTCTTAGTTTTGAGCATGTAAATAATATTTATGTGTAAAGTAAACAGATACATGTCCTTTATGTCCCTGCTTCGCAGGAACAGAAAGGCTTTGTTTCCGTCGCAAGTTTTGCCTCATTTCGCTTGTTCTTCTCGACTGTGCTCAGGGCCACGAGTCAATATGTCTGCAAGTGCTGAAGAAGTGCAGCGATGCATCATTGGCATGGCGTAACGACGAACAGCAAACGTGAGTACAGTTTCATGTTGACACCACCATACGTGCATCGTGCACATTCACCCACATGCACACACACACACACACACACACGAGCGCGCGCACACAGAGTCATACAGTACACACCGCCTTTTGCTGTGCTGGATTTGCTCATAGACCAAATATTGTTTGTAAGAAATTTTAATTGTAGAAAATTGTAGAAACAGGTTGCAGTGCTGTTCACAGACTAAATACATGATTGTACTCATATGTTTGGCAATGCTCATGCACATGTACTGTAGAGCATATAACTTGGGTGTGTTAAAACCGCGGGGTCCATTTATCCGCGGCGGGTTTCCGGTGTAACTTAGGGGGCGTTCATTTTTTGATCTACGTATTTGGGTAGAAACTACTTCTTTTGGTATACTAGTATGCGTTCCTTTTTTTCTACTCAAAACAGTAGATTCTACCTTTCTTTACCGGCTCTACCAAGTTTGAAGCTGGTAGAGGCTGGTAGAAGTTGGCAGAGGTACGGGATTTCCAGCAAGATCAAGGATTTGTACACAACTTCATACAGAAAAAAAAACATTTCACGTACTTATCGTGAACACTACTAAATTCGGTAGGACAGCATCCGTGCACTTACCTCTACCTCTATCGGTAGAATGGCTCTACTGTACTCTACCAGGTAGCTAAAAACGAACGCAGCCTTAGAATTAGGTGACCAGCAGTCCCATCACATACACTGCATACTTTAGTGTTGTTTACAGGTACAGTCAAACCTGTCAAGGTGACCACTCAGATCAGATAAGGCGACCACCTGTCCTAGAAGACCACCGCAACCAGGACTAAGAGATGCTATTTCCAGTCAAATGACCCTGGATAAGGCGACCACCTGGTATCTGAGACCACATTTTGAAGGTCCCTTGAGCGGTCGTCTTAGACAGGTTTCACTGTAATCTGAATTTCCCGTGCCTTGTTTGAAGTTGTTTCTCTACCTCCCATTCAAGTTACACTACAAGGACATATTCCACAGTGTAAACTATGATTTTGTCTATTGTGAACTGAATACTGCACAGGTTGTTACACGTTGCTGCGCATAATGGTATGAACAACTTAGTGGAAGAATTGATCAACAAAGGTGCCAATCTCCATGCTCTGGACAGTAAAGGTATGTAGTCAACTAGTCATCCAACAGCTGATGATAAGGACAGTCAGTTGCTCACTGGCAACGCCCTGTGTAGCCATAGTGACCACCTATGTAGCCACGGTGACCGCCTATGTAGCCATGGTGACCGCCTATGTAGCCATGGTGACTACCTACATGTATGTACCCATGGTGACCGGCTATCTCATGCCCACTCCAATGCATGGTGATATTGAGGAGATGTGGATGGCATTTAGCCCTACTTAGTAGTCTGCTTTTGGGCTGCAGCATAATTGCACCGATCACTGCCCATTCTCAAGTGAAGACCTCTTTTGCTGACCTATCAGCTTTGGCAAAGGGGGGGGGGGGGGAAATAAGTTCATTTTCCTCTACAGTAGAGTCGCGCGCTGAAGAACGCTGAGCCCAAGAACGTCCAACCTGAAGTGCTAAGAACGCTACAGCCCAAAGTCAAGAACGGCGGCGTTGGTTTTCCGGCAGCTTTTGGGATAGATATGATCCAGTACGAATTGTTTCTAAGAACGTGCTATAAGAACGCAGCCAGATTGCCCAACAAAATAAGAACGCCCCAGGCTAACCCCTTGGAAACTACGTTCTTGGACGCGCGACTCTACTGTACAATAGCTGCTGCAGCCGCGAAGACGTTGGTGAGCTTCTTGTCTCGCCATCATATTCCCTGGAGCCTTTCTGCAACCCCAATGTCATCTTACGGGTGTTGCAAATTACACACTCACTTGCTTACTACACTCACTTGCTTACTACACTCACTTGCTTACTACACTCACTTGCTTACTACACTCACTTGCTTACTACACTCACTTGCTTACTACACTCACTTGCTTACTACACTCACTTGCTTACTACACTCACTTGCTTACTACACTCACTTGCTTACTACACTCACTTGCTTACTACACTCACTTGCTTACTACACTCACTTGCTTACTACACTCACTTGCTTACTACACTCACTTGCTTACTACACTCACTTGCTTACTACTCTCACTTGCTTACTACTCTCACTTGCTTACTACACTCACTTGCTTACTACACTCACTTGCTTACTACTCTCACTTGCTTACTACACTCACTTGCTTACTACACTCACTTGCTTACTACTCTCACTTGCTTACTACACTCACTTGCTTACTACACTCACTTGCTTACTACACTCACTTGCTTACTACACTCACTTGCTTACTACACTCACTTGCTTACTACACTCACTTGCTTACTACACTCACTTGCTTACTACACTCACTTGCTTACTACACTCACTTGCTTACTACACTCACTTGCTTACTACTCTCACTTGCTTACTACACTCACTTGCTTACTACACTCACTTGCTTACTACACTCACTTGCTTACTACACTCACTTGCTTACTACACTCACTTGCTTACTACACTCACTTGCTTACTACACTCATGATACATGTATTGCTATGTTGTCTTGCCATGCAGGCCGTTTACCCATTGTCAGCTGTGCGAGTAACGAGAAGACAGCGAAATGCATCCAACTTCTGCTGCGGGGCTCATACAACCAGTAACATCAGCTGCATGCTTCTACAATGTGTGCTGAATGCGCTGCATACTTGACCCAGTGGCTGGCTGGCGGCTACTCATCCTTCTTTAGAAGAGCCGTGGGCGTTGCAATTTCTCCTTCAGCGCACAATTGATCATGGGGCGAGCAGCATCATGTGGACGGTGCCAAGCTATGGTTGGTGTTACGGCTGCTGTGTGCGCTGCGGCTGATTGCCACGGTCAATAGCCTGTCTATAGTTGTAGGTACATTGCCGGTGTGGGTGTGCGTGTGTGCGTGTGCGTGTGTGGATGTGTGTGGTGTGTGTGTGTGTGTGTGCACATGTCTCTGTATGCGTGTGCGCGTGTCTGTTTTCAGGTGTCTGCATGTATGTTCATGCTAGAGATGTATGCGTGTTTTTGTTCTTTAGATGTGTGTGTGTGTGTGTGTGTGTGTGTGTGTGTGTGTGTGTGTGTGTGTGTGCGCGCGTGTGTGTGTATAGCCCTTTGCCCTGCTCCCTCCTTCCTTCCCCGCAAACACCAACACATCAGCATGCAAATGCTAGTTCTTTATTTTCACCTTCTTTGAACGCTGTGGGAAGGCCTGTGTTGGAGAGAACACCAGATCATGTGACATCTCTTGGCATTGCTTCCAAGCTCTTCCGGCCATGTTCTCCTGTAGGTATTCATTCGGGCATCTCTTCTTATTTTTCGTATGCCTTGCTGTTCAGCCTCATTTCATTTATCTTTCGACAAGCAGGTGGAAGGTATCTATTTGGAGATATTTAGGCTAATGTTCTCCGATCCTTTTTTTAAGATATCCGTGTGTCTGTAGCACATGAAATTTTGATATTGTTTTTACCGTGTCCTCATTTTCATGACGGCCATACAATTCACATTACATCCTTTGCTTGTATATTTTAGTTAGGATCTGTAGCAGTCATGAATCATGGAGAAGTCCTGTTGCATCTTGCAAATCAATTGGCCATCTACCTTGATTAGTAGTCCATCATCTGTCTTGGTGCTTTGGCCATAGTTTCTTTTAGTCCTGTTCTGTGCCTTCGGTTTACTAATATTCGCAGATGCTTTTTTCGCCTTGTTTCTTTTTTTTACCATGTTTTGTTCTCCCCCGCGACAGTATCTTCTTATCGGTGACGTTTTTACCCCCTCCCCCCCCCCCCCCCCCCCCCTCTCCAGCTCTCTAGTTTTAGCCTGCTGTGCCACACTCTCTGTTTTATCTTCTCTTGTACTCAGTTGCTGATGGTAGTCTTTCCTGCTCTCCGTCGATACCGGTGCCACTGTCTCGCTCTCGCTGGTGGCCGGCTCGGTTTTTCCGGTGTTTTTTTTGCCAAGTAGTGTTATCGTTAGCTCCTTTCTTTCTGCTGAAGAGTGCAGTCGACTGTGCTGCAAATTCTCTGTTGTGGCCCATAGTAGTCACGCGCCCCCCTGCTTACTTTTAGCTCTATTCTGTGTACCTTGTGTTATCCACTATTTTCTTAGAATACTCGGTCCCGGTTTCTCCTAGTGCACTGCGGTGGCGCCGGCATGGCGTGCTGTGTGCCTACGTCTGATCTAAGTATACGGTAATAATAATATTCTGTTTCAACCGAATCGTTCCGTTGCCACTGCTTGCGTGAGAGTCACACATTATCGGTAGGGGTGAAACGAGTATATTGAATACTCGAGCGCTCGCTCGAAAATTTGAAACGAGCGAGTACACTCAAACGCCTCTTATCCGGACGCCTCAGATACGGGCACGTCTCTCTACCGGGCACCTTCAGCTTGAGGGCCTATAGCACAAATGAGTCGAATTTGGGGGTTTTGAACTTTTTTCCCTGTGTGGAAGTGCTTATGTTTCACTGCCAACCTATGCAATCCACACATTTTTATCAATGGGTTCCCTTTGTATCCTCAACATGTGCAATACGTGCCAAATAAACTTCTTCAAAAAATGATATCATACATGGTAGGTGAGTTATCCTGAGACACGAGCAAATCTGAGATACGGGCAGTGCCCGGTCCCAAGGTGCCCGGATAAGAGACGTTCGAGTGTACTCGTTTCGCAAAATACTCGAAGTGTCCTATGTACATCGAGCATTTCTGTAACTCTGACTGGTACTGATGGTCCATGCAAGCGCGAAATTATTGCTTGTCCCTACTTACCAGCAAAAGACAGTAGTTCAGACTATGTCCGACACCATGCTGCATGCAAGACTATTAGAGAGGTTTTGCATTCCGAATTTCGGAATTATTTTCGGAATGTCACGGCAGCAGTCGAAAAAGTAGTCGAACTTTCGGAAGTGTGGTGGCGAAAGTGCATGGTTTTCCGAAAATGGATTTTCGGCTCTTTCATGTTTGGGAGTGCATATTTGAATACAAAAAAGTGTATTTTTCATGTTTTTATTTTTGCTTTCTGCTGCTCTCGATTATTTGAAATTTTTCCACGTATGTAGTTTTGATTTTTCAGCGGCTGGTTTTGCTGCTCTCGCTGATCTCGCCATGTTGACTAATCTTCTCACACTCCATCACACTCTGGCTTCCTTTGCCATGGAGCCTACTGACAGTACAAGACAGTAGTTCGCCAACGTTTTCAACCTCGTCTTCAGCTGTTGGATCACTTGGTCCACCATCAGTCCGTCCTCGTCTTCGAACCGCACCCAAAATTCAGTTTGACCTGCACACATGGATTTGATCAACCCCTTCGACGCTCTCCATTTTGTTTTGCATGGCAACCCTTGGAAACGAAGTCGAATCAGATTTTCGGAATGCAAAACACTGAAAATACCGTTTTTCGGAACGCGCTTTTTTCGGAAAAGCACAGTCGAAAATCATTCCGAAATTCGGAATGCAAAACCTCTCTATTAAAGGGGAAGTTAAGGCAAATCACCTGGTCACCACGCCAGCAGGCGACAACTTTCACACCAAGGTTCAACTCGAGCTCAACTCGAGTGACAGGACTGCACCCAAAAAAGGTCAAACATGCTAGTAAGTTGTACCCTGCAGGCACGGTGACCAGGTGACTGGTGTACGCAGGAGCACGTGACCGCTTGTTCAACCATGTTCGATTGGGAATAAAGGAGGAACGCTGCATCGCAGCCTTTTCGGACCAAAACCAGTCGACTCAGCGTCCAAAAGACTACAACATATGGGCCAATCGCGGTCATCCGTTCTTTTATAAGAACGAAATGGCGCTTTTAGTGACATTTTGCATACAAATCCCCATCTAGTAGGGCGCAGTCACCCAGTTTCGGTGGAAGTGCGCGAGTTCGATTGGGATTCAAGTAGGAAGGGAGCGTCTCAGCTTCCTCGGACCAAGACCATTCGACTCAGCACCCCGAAGACTACAACTGGTGAAATTTTAATTTTTGCCTTAACTTCCCCTTTAATATAGTGTGTATCGGGTGTATACATGTACTACGTTCGGTGGTGCGAGAGTTTGTGCAGTGCATTGTTTTATGTTGTCAGTAAAATACTCGTACTCGCTCGAATACTCGCTCGTTTATTCAAAGAGTACTCAAGTCCCCAATTTTGGCACTCGTTTCACCCCTAATTATCGAAGATACTATAGCTAGTATTGGTGCTGGCTGGTGAAACTGGCAAGCCCTTCCCCTGCACGAGTCAAGCAGCCCCCTGGACGACCTGCAGCTCTGCCAAACTCCAGCTTAGGGCACATGTCTGCCATGCAACTTGTGACTGTGTGTGCAGTTCTCAAGTGAGCTGTTGGATTCCACTGGCCGGCACTTTCCATTGCACTAGCTGTTCTGTCTACTGCTACCAACTGATCTTAAAAGTTATTTTCCGTTAGTATCAAGAGTATACTTCGAAGTAATCATGACTGGTGGGTGGTGATTCGAGCATGCATGTATGCATGTAGCTACCAGCAATACGTTTTTTTCTTTGCCCCTCTAGTTCTCTGTACATGTGAAGAGACTTTTCCCGGACCCATAGCCATAGCCATAGCCATAGGCAAACGATAAATTGTATAACTTCGTGAAAAGCGTCGATTAAAAATTACTTCGAAGTAATAATATCAAGAGTGCATAAACTGTTTATGGACTCTTGATAATATTTACTATAAAATGGATGGCCTATGTATAGATGGCTACAGGAGGTTTGACTAGGCCGTCTTGTGTGTGTTGATTATGATTGTGCTCGAGATAGATAGAGTGAATTGCTGCCAAAGTGGGTTGGCTGCACTTCTACTAAACGCATACAGTGGGCAGTTCTACCGTTGCACCGATTACTAGTAACTTGGTGTGAATTGACTGATTTTGCAGCTTGAAAGTGAATCAGTTTTGTGATGGACGTGATGGAAGTGTGGCAGAAACACTATTATGACTGCAGGCTTGGAGGCTGGGGTAGGGAAGGGAACGATATGAGAACGCTGCACCTCATGATGCGAGGCAGGTAATGCTCCAAGCACATGAAATTTGCTGAAATCCAATCAGCAGTACCATACATATACGGTACATGGCAAACTGTGTGCTCTTCTTCCTTCAAGTATAAAGTTAACCTCCCCGAAACTGATGATTCCAAAAGATTCATTGCTTTCTTAGGAGCCGTTTACATGAGAAAAATAAGCCCGGGCTTATTCAACCCTAGGCTTACGATAAGCCCACCTTGATCTGTCACCCAGTCATTTTAGAGCGCGCGTTTACATGGTCAGGCGGGCTTATTCAGCTCGCCTGAGCTGAACTAGCCCTACCCTTGACCCCCGAGCTTATCCAACCCCCAGGGCTTATTTTGTCATGTAAACGGTCAAGAAAGCCCTGGGCTTATAAGCGAGTTTTTCCGTATTTTTCGATTTTGCCTCATGAACCTGAAGAGAATGTGGCCGTGGACAGTGCGTCTCTTTTATTTATTTCTTGGTATGTTTTCTTCTGATTTTTGTCCAGTGGGAGGTCCTAGCCCATCCTTCACCTTCTTGAAAAATAAATGACAATTGCCGGGAAAGGCAGTAGAAGCCTGAGCTGGCACTTCTTGATCCAAATTTCATCAGACACGAACATTTACCACTGCGTTCATGTGCGATTTGAAAAATAAAATACGCGCAGAACTCGCAGTCACTCGCCTGAACTCAGCCCGTTTGAAAAATAAGCCCGAGGCGAATAAGCCCGGGCTTATTTTCCTCATGTAAACAGCCCCTTATACTTGTATTATAGTATTCATTGCCCACCAACCGCAGCCGGCCTGCCTGCTTTGTAATGATTATGTAGGCCGGCACAGTCGGGTTTTGCCTTGATTCAAGCCATCATCACTAATCCAGGTTTAGATACCACAATTATACACTGACTTGATTATGGAGATGGTGCAAACCGAATGGCGGTGCAGCTCGCAGAAAAGGCGACAGTTGGAAGCCAGCAAGTAATTAGTTGACACAGTCGTCAAGGTATCTTCCATTTTCGGGGCACTTCTTAGCTCACTGACTCAGTCTATGATGCTGATGTCAGGGATATAATTATGTAGGCTTCTATTCACATCAGGCTTCTATTCAAACCAGATGTTTCTATGTGTCAACACTGAAACCAGGCTTATGTGACAAGACACTAGGCTATAGGCTATATCCAAGAGTCCATAATCCCCAATTATGGACTCTTAATCTTGCTATATCCCTTATGCTATGCCTGTTGAAGTGTTGCAGTCCAGGTGCATCCAGGATAGTAATAGTATAATAGCGAGTACAAGTGGCACTGCCGTCGTTCATCGATTCATGGTCGACATCGTCAGTTAGCTGCTGTCATGCATGTCGTAGACTAGACCCTATGCTCTATCACGTGCGCTCCCTGCGCCCGGCATGCCGATATATATCGCGATGTGATGATTATGGTGCCATGTTGATCGTTTGACCTCCTGATCCTCGCGCTCACCGACACGTCCCACTCCCATGCCCAGCTACATTTTTACAAGTCATATGGACCAGACAGACAGACATGGCCATGGCATGCATGGATCGGGATGGGATCAGATCAATCACTGAATCAGGATACATCGACACCGATTGTTACCTGGCATGGCGCGGTACAGCCGGTGGTATCACCATGGCATGATCACACCCGAGCTAGAAGATTCGGAGCATCAAACGACAGCTCAGGGACGTGCATCTTTCCACGGTCACTTGTCAGCAAACTGCCAATAAATCTTTTGGCAGTTGTTTGCGGAATGTGCATGCACGGCGATACTGAGACTGTGACTGTCGTTGTACAGCTACTAGTACACATACTAGTACATAGTCCGATTAGATTGAAGACTGACCTTTCCAGTTTCCATCGTGCCTGTCAGTGTCACCGAACCTGCTCGCTCCCCATCACCACATCTTCGACAATACACTGATACTGCAGCTACAATGGCCGGTCCAGCAGGGGCGTTACAAGGGTGAAGTACTCCGCGCTCCCTTGGCACGCATCGGGGAGAATAATTTCAGGTCCTTCTTTGAAACGCTTCTTCTTTGTGAAAGAGTTTTGGTCACACACGACTTAGTTGAGTGTTTAGTTAGCTCGCCCTTTGGCATACCGAAAGACGACATCGGATGGCCATGCCACGCAGCTCCGGGACAATACCAGCATCCACAGTATGGAAGTTAGTCCTTGTGGCTGCTGTAACAGCGGGATGTGGCATATTTGGATCATCTCCCACGGTAAGTGCGTTTGAATGAAGTCTTGTCAACTACAGTACAGGTCAGGCGGCCTCGCTATAACGTAATCTCTGGGGTATTGTAATTTTTATGTTGTAGCGAGTTTTTTTCTAATGAGTTGGGCATATGGGCACACCAATTTGCAACATGTATGTCAAAAGATTCAAAATGACGCTCTTTGCTTAGTTTAATACAAAAGTGACCAGAATGCAGGATTTTGCACCCTTATTTTTAAAAATATTTCCTGCAGGAGACCCCGGACCTCCCTCCGGCCGGACCACCTCCAACGGCGGTGCTACGCGCCTGAGAACCTGCGCTGCGCACTGACCCCGGCATAACCACAGTTGCATACTTTTGTTTATGTACTCTTGATGCCAGTATTCGTGTGGGCGTTGAATGCAAGCGAGGGTATGCAGCCGTGGGCAGAAATTTCAAGAAAAGAAAATGATTTGGGCCGGAAAGACACTCTACTGTACGACTTTTTGTGTTATACTGAGGTCTGTGTGCACGTGGTACCGAGTGAACACTGCGGAACAGTGTGTTGCAGCGAACATTTTGCTATAGCGAGGACATTTTATACAGAAGTGATGCGGTTTCGGCAGGGACATCTGCATTTCGTACGTTGTACAGCTGTAGCGAGGTTTATGTTATAGCGAGGTTTATGTTATAGCGAGGTTTATGTTGTAGCGAGGTTTATGTTATAGCGAGGTTTATGTTATAGTGAGGTTTATGTTATAGCGAGGTTTATGTTATAGTGAGGTTTATGTTATAGCGAGGTTTATGTTATAGCGAGGCCTGGCCTGTACATGCAGTGCTCCTGTTCAAGCTTTGGTTTCATACCGGCTGCCACAAAGCGTGCAAGTACTAGCTTAACGACGTTTGAACGTCAAGACTACCGATTTGTTTTGCCTTAGCACCACCTTGTAGTCACTAGTGAGTTGTCTGTGCGTGTGTTGACGTCATTTGCAATTTCAGGACACATACATCGCTATACTAACGTTATAGACTACATTTAGCGCATGTACAAGAATTTAGTCTTCAACCCAAGTACAACTTCGCTATTACAAGCTGCTACTGGCAGTGGCAGTGTGGGTCCTTTCTTCAGTTTACTGGTGCAGTAGTGGTAGTGTCCGGAGTAGTTTGTGGGAGGTAATCTTGATCAGGTCTGACCATACACGACCCCCCTCCCCATGATAGCACATGACACTGCCCCACTGCCCCACACAGACACTGCCTCTAACACTGATATGGCAGCATACGTATACAGTATAAGTTGATAACCTCTTATCCAGGTGCCTCTCGGCACCGAAGGGTGTCGGGTATCTTAGAGTTGGAATTGTCCGTAACTCGCACACATACAATGTAGCCGGGCCTAACATATTCAGCTGTCACTCATGTGTGAAGGGATCATTTTTTGTCTTTCCCTCAAACTAGTCAAGACCATTGTATCTGTATTTGTACAACCATAATGGATGCGACACATCATTCTCCTCAAATAGGCTGCTCACTGAACCAAATTAAGACCGATACCATTCACAGGCACATACGGTAGAGCCTGAGGGCTATGACCTTTCATGGGACGGAGTACTTCAGCTGACTGCCACGAAAAGGAAGACACTTTCAGCATTGTCGGTGCAAGGTGCCCGGTTGCTGGAGGTGGCCGAATGGGGACCGAGAGATGGAAAAGAGAGGCAATCTTGTTCGACTGGAGGACATTTTCAAACTGAAAAGTTTGACCTTGCAAGATGTGCTTTTTACTGTACAAGCTGCTTAATACCAACATTTAACTGCGCGCCTTCTTGTATCTGATCAATGACTTCTCTTTTCTTTGTATGCTCTCTCTCTTTCTCTCTCTCTCTCTCTCTCTCTCTCTCTCTCTCTCTATCTCTCTCTCTATCTCTATCTCTCTCTCTCTCTCCCTCTCTCTATCTCCCTCTCTCTCTCTCTCTCTCTCCCTCTCTCTCTCTCTTCTCTCTCTCTCTCTCTCTCTCTCTCTCTCTCTCTCTCTCTCTCTCTCTCTCTCTCTCTCTCTCTCTCTCTCTCTCTCTCTCTCTCTCTCCCTCTCTCTCTCTCTCTCTCTCTCTCTCTCTCTCTCTCTCTCTCTCTCTCTCTCTCTCTCTCTCTCTCTCTCTCTCTCTCCCTCTCTCTCTCTCTCCCTCTCTCTCTCTCTCTCTCTCTCTCTCTCTCTCTCTCTCTCTCTCTCTCTCTCTCTCTCTCTCTCTCTCTCTCTCTCTCTCTCTCTCTCTCTCTCTCACCAACCGTGATGTGCTTGTGCGTTTGTGTTTGTGCATCCTTTGTACAGCATGGCATGCAGGAGACAGAGTGGTACAATGAAGATATTGGCGACGGTGAGATTCACTCAGCGGACAGGTGTATCATGCGCGGCCAGTGCATGAACAACACCGATTCTAACGGGCTCCTCAACTGTGCCTACAACGGTCCATCCACACTGGCTGGCCCAGAAGAGATGTCCATTATTGAATCACTGTGTCCTATGCTGATTGAGCCTACTCGTCGAGCACACGCATATGCTGTGACATCAAGCAGTTAAAGACACTGCAGGACCAGACTACGGTAGCTTTGCAAATGCTCAGCGGCTGTCCCAGCTGCTACTACAACTTCATGACTGTCTTTTGTCATCTGACATGCGACCGCAATCAGTCTCAGTTCATGCGCTCCACGTCGGAGCTGCCCGTGCCCGACAAGCCCGGCGAGTACGCTCTGGACGCCACCGAGCTCTTCATCTCAACGAATCCGTTCGAGGAGTTCTACTCGTCGTGCGCCAACGTACAGTTCTCGTCGTCTCAGAGCAAGGCACTAGATGCACTGTGCGGCCAGCCGGCTGCGACCTGCTCACCGCAGGCCCTGCTAACGTACCTGGGTGGCAAATCCCACTCACCGTTCCAGATCAAGTTTACGCACGTGAACGAGACGTCTCTGCCGGACGACGTAGTGGCGTTGAACATGACCGGCTGGGATGCGGACATGTACAAGTGCAACGAATCCTCGCCTGTCTATAATAAAACGTGTAGCTGCCAAGACTGTCCCGTACCTTCTCTGTGTCCGGTGCCACCGCCCATTCCCGTTCCTACTCCGTTCCTGATATTGAACTTTGACGGCGTCACGTTTGTTGTGCTCCTGTCGTACAGTGTTCTGTTTCTGGTGACCATGTTTGCCGTTCTGATATGCGGCAACAGAACAAAGTACACGGATATTGAGGTGAGAAAACTCTGCCACCCTCCTTGCTCTACGTCGATTTCTGTCACCTGTGTGTGTATGTGTGTGTGTGTGTGTGTGTGTGTGTGTGTGTGTGTGTGTGCGTGTGCGTGCGTATGTGTGTATGTGCATGTGTGTGTGTGTGTGTGTGCGTGTGTGTACGTGCATGTGTGTGTGTGTGTGTGTGCACGTGCATGTGTGTGTGTACGTGCATGTGTGTGTACGTGTGTGTATGTGCACGTACATGTATGTATGCATGTATGCATGCGTGTGTGTGTGTGTGTGTGTGTGTGTGTGTGTGTGTGTGTGTGTGTGTGCATGTGCGTGTGTGTGTGTGTGTGTGTGTGTATGTGTGTGTGTGTGTGTGTGTGTGTGTGTCAGTTGCTGAGGCTGGTTGGTAAAATAACTCCAATTTCACTTCAAGGTACCAGTGCATCTAGTGTCTGCTTTTATCAAAGCAGCGTGCTGTCTATACTGGCTACCCCAGCAAGTGTAGGGTGTGCATAGGTAACTGTCTTGGCCGTCCTATTCCGATGTACTCCGTGTGGTGTAGACCAGGTGTGCATTGGGGGGTCGATTCACATGGCTTCGCCAGTTGTGTGGATTAGACAGTTATCTGGCGCTTGTCTTGATCTGTTTCAATCAGAATCAGATCCGCTATCGTTGCTATAAAGAGAAAATCTGTGGGTGCACATCCAGTGCATTTGCAGATTTGCGTGCTTCTCTTGCGACGGGCGTATACATGGTACATGGTACATGGTGTCTGTGTGTGTGTGTGCCTTGTTCTGTGGTGGTAACTACTGTCCGAAAATACCCCAGCTTGCCAGTTTTTTCACGTCACCTCATGCATGAAGCCCAGTGCAGTCTGCTTCTACTAGTTCTAGTGTTTTATACACAGATCATGTGTTAGCTTACTTGATCAGTGACAGAGTCATTGGTTGATCGTGTTGATTGTGTTGGTTGTGGCTGTAGGTTGCAGGAGGTGGCCGCGAGCGATTACCCGTCCGCTCATCGTTAAACGAAGGCAGCAGCAACTCGGAAGGAAGCGTCACTTGCTGCCAGTCCATCCAAGAAGTCGGTGCTCGTCTGGAGCTTCAGTTGAAAGTCTTGTTTCGACGCTGGGGATTGATCTGCTCAAATCGGCCACATGTGGTGATCCTCGTCAGCATTGTGATTGTTGCAGCAATGAGCTGTGGCCTATTGCACTTCAAGGTTGTTACCGACCCGGTTCTACTATGGTCGTGTAAGTCACGGTGTGATGGTCTCTTAACTTAAAATGTTGTATAGTACGGCTCACTGGTCATTGTGTACACATATCCTTGAACACAACACATGGCCTCTGTAAGGCAGAGCGGACGCAAGCGGCAAGCAACAACAGAACAAAAGAGTTTATGTGCATATTTGCTGTGCTCTTCCTTGGTTCTCCAGCTGCATCTAGCCAGTCGCGCCTGCAGAAGGACTACTTTGACAATCACTTTGGTCCGTTCTACAGACCGGAGCAGCTTATCATCACTGCGCCCGGCCGGCCGTTCACGAAAGAGCACATGAACACGCCCGGAAACGAGTTCATCATCAGTCAAGACTTTGGTCCCGTGTTTGACAAGGGAATTCTAAAGGAGGTACGTCACGACTGTTCATACCACCCTTTACCATCTCTTACCAGGTTATGAGAATCATTCAAAAATGATTCACCTGTCTATATTGTGTCTGGATCATCCGCCAATACCAGTGCTATATCGTTTGTCTTTGGTATACTGGGTGCTAGCCTTTACTTTTTAGGCAACGGCCACTTATAACACTTTTTTCATGAAAGTATCAAGTGTGGTCTTTAACACCCCTATTATTTTTATGCTCTTCCATTGCAGATTGTCAATTTACAGGAAGCTATCCTAGCTTTGAGAGTTCCATTTAATGCTACCAATGAGAATGGAACAGTTGTCAACGAAAACATAGGCCTGCAAGATGTGTGCTTCAAACCACTTGCTCCGTACAACAATAAGTGTGCCATCGAAAGCGTCACACAATGGTTCCAAAATAACAAATCCAATATTGACTTGACCTACCAGTACACACCAGATGGTTTCCTCTTCCCAATCACCATTGGCTGGCATAAACATGCCTACTACTGCTCCAGGTAAGTGTGCATGGCTCGGCACATGACGGTGTGTGCACTCAGTGTGTGTGTGTGTGTGTGTGTGTGTGTGTGTGTGTGTGTGTGTGTGTGTGTGTGTGTGTGTGTGTGTGTGTGTGTGTGTGTGTGTGTGTGTGTGTGTGTGTGTGTGTGTGTGTGTGTGTGTGTGTGTGTGTGTGCACTCAGTGTATGTGTGTGTGTGTATGTGTGTGTGTGTGTGTGTGTGTGTACGTGTGTACGTGTGTGTGTGTGTGTACATACACGTGTGTTAGTGTATCGCTGCTTGCCTAGTACATGTGTACAGTGTAACCCTGAGCTGTCCGTAATGACGTGACATGACAGGAACTCATCCCGGTCTCTTTCTTTCCCACAGGGCGCCGTTTGACACGAATTCCCACGATGCAGATAGACTGAACATGTCTTGTCTGGCTGACTATGGTGGACCAGCTATGCCCAATGTTGTCCTTGGCGGCTTTTCTGGTGAGCCAGCTTGCTTGTTAACCAACAGTACCTTTGAACCATGTGGAAATGCCCTTGTTACACTCTCCAGGATACTGCCCTTGAACCTCCCCGGGGATAGGTTGTGCTTGGACCTGCCCAGGCCCAGATACATGTAGTCCCCTGGACCAACCCAGGGCTGGTGCCCCAACATACCCGGGGATAAAGCACCGGACCTACCCAAGCATGGTGCCCTTGTATGTGTACGCTAGTTTCTGAATACGTGTATGGTATTCGTGAAGTCATTATGTCGGGCTGTTCCTTACTGCTGGTTTTGATCCGTATTTCTTGTCGTTGCTTTCCTTGCTGCCTGCAGATGACAGCTACTTGAATGCCACTGCACTCGTCCTAACATTTGTGGTCAACAACTACGTGAACGACGCTGATAACAAACGGGCAGAAGCATGGGAGACAAGGTTGGTAATGCCCGCTTCCTACGAGTCTCTTTGCCAACTCTCTAGCCTTATTACTGTAGTCTCTTCCTTCTAAAGCGTTACGTAACTCAGTTTGACTTTGCCATGCACTGTTAGTGTTTGAGTTTGGCCAGCACAACGCAGTGTACTATGCACAGTCATAAGAAGTGTAGAGTGACGCCCAGACCAGTGTCAATGTAGAGTAGCGTGTCCAGAGCCCAGTAGTCTGTGATAACCTCTCCCTCTCCCTCTCATCCCGCTACTCCTTACACACAACACTGTGAAACTAATACCACTGGAATCAGCCAGCTTGGAGCCATGTCCAGTCCAAGTAGGCTTTTAATAGCAGCTAGTTACACTTTAAATACTTCATATATTTCGGTACCTCCATGCGACACAAGTCTCGCTCATCGGTTTGTAATGCGTTGCTAGTCGCGCGCTGAAGGAAGTTTCTACACTAGCTTCTGCGCCAGCTGAAGTGTGAGATAACATTAGCGCAGGGTGTCATAACACTCGGTCTTGTATGGTTGGTACTATTTAGTCCTGGCAAGTTAGGGTGGCTTGTTCTTTGCTTTGTTTTCTCAATGGAAACGTATTGGAAGACCAAGTGAGATAAGAAGTAAGTTTTTCTTGTAGTTTCTACATGTCCCCGGAGGATGCAATTCACTCGTGACAATGTTCTTTCCATGCAGTCTATGGCTTGGAAACCCGGGAACCCGTACTGTATTACTGTTAGAAGGAGTATCTTAGTGTTTGATAAGCACCCGTGCTGCTTTTTTGCTTAGATTCTTGGACTTTGTTCGGAAGGAGTACACGAATCCGCAGAATCTCACCATATCTATCAATGCCCAGGTAAGACTTGCACAGCATTCTCCTAGCCCCGCCTGATCTGGATGGATATGTACAGAGCGGACTCCGCACTACATACACTAGAGCCGCCATGGTAGATAGAGTAACCCGCAACACTGAGCAGGATCACTTCCCTGTGTACATGTACTAGTAATGCTAGTGATCAATTCTGTTGTCGTACAATGAGTGGTAAACTACCCAACTTCCTGTCTGATACACTAGCAGTGTGTGTAATGATGTGACTTGTGGCAGCTGTGCCGTACATGCATGCAGCTCGGAGTTGACATTTTTTATCCTGTGCTTCCATTTTATTCAAACTCTGGAAGGTCTTTCAACCCTGACTGTAGCTACCCTGCTTCACTTTGTAACACTACATGTACTTCAAGTAGCATTCGTGCATTGAAGCAATAGCAGTCAGTGTACGCTTGTTTGGCGTGCTGTCTGATATGTGTTCTCGACCTAGCGCTCTATTGAAGACGAAGTGAACAGAGAAAGCGCTACTGATGAAGTTACCATCATTATCAGCTATGCCATCATGTTCGCCTATGTTGCCATCACCCTGGGCCGCTACTCCAGCTGTTCGCGAGTCTTGGTAAGCATTCAGTTTTCTCCACATTGATAACATCCACCTATGTAGAGTGCACTTCTCCAATATGCTTTCCTACTATGTTGCTATATCCATATTGGCCGCCTTCTTTACGTCTTCAATTGCGCTTTCTTCTTCAGTAGAAAGAACATGTTGAGGTCATGGTGTGTGTGTTGCTATAGGCAAAGGCCCCTACCTGCACTGGCATGTGTTGTATAATGAGACAGGGACAGTTTGAAGCTTACAGTTAGTTTACTATGTACCGGTCTGCAACAAACTATCAATTGCAGTGGTACTTTGATGCATTGCTATCCTCGAAGGGTGTGTACCCTGTACCGGTGTGTGTGTGTGTGTGTGTGTGTGTGTGTGTGTGTGTGTGTGTGTGTGTGTGTGTGTGTGTGTATGTGTGTGTGTGTGTGTTTGTGTGTGTGTGTGTGTGTGTGTATGTGTGTGTGTTCCTTGAAGTGATGACCGTATCTCTCTCTGTTCTTACTGCATGACATTGACAATGCGCAGGTGGAATCTAAAGTTATGCTCGGTCTTGCTGGAGTCGTGCTGGTGCTGGCAGCTGTCGCTGCCTCACTGGGCTTTTGGGCCTACCTTGGAGTCTCTGCGACCCTGATCATCATCGAAGTCGTGCCGTTTCTCGTGCTGGCCGTGGGAGTAGACAACTTGTGTATCCTGGTACAGTCTTTACAGGTACGGTGTGCAGTTGCCTGTGGGCCTGTCATCACGTGTGTTAGTGCGTACACATGATAAGGACGGTCAGGGTAGCAGAAAGCAATTTTCAAAAATTCCTCCTTTACTCTTTCTATGATTTCTGTACTGAATATGTCATCAGAGACCTGCTATGGCTAGCCAATATGGTTCAATGCTCTGCCGGATCCCTAACTAAACCTATGCGTTCCCATTCATTCTGGTGTGCTTGCCGATTTTCAGCGTGACGAGATCCAGTCTGGTGAATCGCCTTGTGAACAACTTGCCCGCATTGTCGGAGAGGTAGCACCCAGCATGCTCCTAACTGGCTTATCGGAGTCTGTCGCCTTCTTCCTAGGTAAGTACTAATAACTCGCCGCCAAAAGTCCAATTCTCACAACCAGACTCGGTGACTGCGTGACGGCTCTAGTGCATGCTGCTTGTGTTTCGCAGCTATTTCTTTCAGGCGGGTGAAACTTGCTTTCTGCTATGCTGATCATATTATGTTGCTGTTGCATCATCATCATTACCTCTTGCCGTGCGTGCTGCTCAGTCGTGCAATAGCCAGTTACTGGGCACCGAATCTTAAAATAATTATATCTTATAATGTTGACTTGACTTTCCTTTTGTGCCATGACAGGTGCTCTGTCTGGAATGCCGGCAGTTCGAACATTCTCCCTGTACGCTGGAATGGCAGTGTTCGTCAACTTCATTCTGCAGATAACAGTGTTCATAGCGCTGATGTCGTTGGATGTGCGGCGGGAAGCGGTAAGCTCCTTGCTTCCCAGTGGAAGCAGTGTTGTGTGTGTGTGTGTGTGTGTGTGTGTGTGTGTGTGTGTGTGTGTGTGTGTGTGTGTGTGTGTGTGTGTGTGTGTGTGCATGCTAGTTTGGGAAAGATTGTTGTCACTTGAAAATGGCGATGAGTCTCTGCCACTACATTAGTGGTCTGGCCGTACCCTCTTTAATTGTTCACCAATATGTTAGTTAAAACTTAAAAGTATCTGCAAGCGAACATTGCTCTCAATTGTATCATTTCTAGTGGCAGACTGGGTGTTGGGCCAGCGTACTTGCTCCACCCTATGTATGCTTATTACCTATTTGCGCAGTGCATTCAATGCATCAAGTGTCGTACGTGTGTGTGTGTGCGTGTGTGTGTGCGTGTGTGTGCATGCGCGTGCCTGTGTGTTTCATCCCTCTCCAGGACAATCGCATGGATGTACTTTGTATCAAACTGAAGAAGAACGGCAGCGAGGGTCGCCATGGTAACGGTTTCATCTACACCTTCATGGAGAATTGTCTGGCACCGGTGCTGATGACAACTCCTGTACGCATCATTGTGGTAAGTCACTAGGCCGCAGGCCGATGACTTATTTTCCTCCCCTGTTGTGGCAGTGGAAGTGGCCGCTTGAGTCAGTGGTGAAAGATGGGAGGAGAAGGTGGAGGAGGCAGGGGAGGAGGAGGAGGAGGAAGGAGTTGTATGTTTTTTTTAACCACTAAGCACGTTGATGCTACTCTTCTTCCATGCGTTCTTTACAATATTTGCCTTCCCAGATCATCGTGTTCTCATTTGCCTTCTTTGGAAGTGTGACACGTATCCCACATTTGGATGTCGGCTTGGATCAAACGTTGGCATTACCTGACGTAAGTACAAAAGCCGCATGATGCCGCGCCTGAATCAGCATATTACTTCTGTTATCCAAGTCACAGTGATTGTGGGGGATTTTCTATTACAAAGCAACTGTTGATGAAAACAGTCCCATGCGGCATGATTCCTATCAACTGGCTTTTAAGGACGTCACCGGATTGGCAGTAAGACAGTGAGTGATATATTACTAGTAGTGCCTACAATGCTTGTGCTTTCAATCTTTACAGCACTGGGTCCTGTCACACCTGTGTGTGGCAGCAATGCTTGTGCTCTGATGGCCATCTTGACATTGAATCCTTCACAGCACTGGGCTGTGTGTTGTTGTTGTTGTTGTTGTTGTTGTTGTTGTTGTTGTTGTTGTTGTTGTTGTTGTTGTTGTTGTTGTTGTTGTTGTTGTTGTTGTATACTTATAGTGGAAATCAAAACAGGCATAATGCCTAATAACATTGAACCCATGTGTGTGTGGTCATTAATTAATGGCGGCGGCAATGCGTGTGTTTCTTTGCTGTTCTGGTCTGGTCTGCACAGGACTCGTATCTTCTCGATTACTTTCACGATTTGAATACGTATCTGAGGGTCGGCTCACCTGTCTATTTTGTAGTGAAGGATGGATTCGACTACTCCAACGCGGCCAATACTAACTTGGTGAGCTACAGTAGATGGGGTGATGGGATTTTTGTGTCTTGAATCAATGAAGTCAGTGGCTTTTCATTTGATCTCTCTGTCGTTCTCTGTGTTCACAAACACACACACACACACACACACACACACACGCACACACACACCTCAGACCTGCCCATCGCGGAAGCGATGATAGCGAACAGCTATGTTAGACATAGCAACTTGTGCTGGGATTGCACCATTCAACAGCTTGCAAGGCTGATGAATTGACCGCCACTATTTTTAGCCTGGTATCCACCACACAGCTGATTGAAGTGACTTTTTCTGGCCAGTGAATCCCTATTTTTCATATTTTTCTTTTTTTCACACACACACACACACACTTGTTAGTTTTTGTAAACGACGCTAGTCACAAGATGTCGTTGGTGCGTTTGTAGAACCTCTGCAACATAATAGCTGGGACTCCATGTATCCCGCACCAGTCACCTGTACTGTTTGGTTGATACATTTTGGAATCATTGCAGCATGACTGCACTTCTTGTAGGCCGAGATAGGTGGATGTACATGCGCGCTGTGTGGCTCTGTGCTGTAACTGATGTTTGTACGCTTTACCACTGTTGTTCTGCTGGTGCTGTTCAGATTTGCAAGACGTCTGGTTGCAGCTCCGTGTCCCTGGGTGCACAGATTAGCATGGCTGCACAGCAACATAACTAGTGAGTGAGACTGGGACTGTACTGCGGCAACAGCTGCTGCTGCTGCTGCAACTGAGTGCTCAATACACTAGGTGTGCACTGAGACGGACACCACTCCGGCATGGTTCGGTGGCTGCTCGGTTCTCCCTTTGAATAGGGTTCCGATCACTGGAAGGTAAACTGGGGGGGGGGGGGGGGGGGGGGGTCCGGGCTAGCGTCCCAACAAACAATCCCAAAACCCACCGATCCTTGTCTTCAAGTCTGTAGTGAGGCGTGTCTTCTGCAACATCAAAGCTAGCTCGATCCAACGCCCAGGGGTTTCCAGCAAACTTAATTATACAAACTACTCGCCTACACTATCAGGCTTGAATCAACCCTTCCCCCCCCCCCCCCCCCCCCCCACACACACACACACAGGCACACCAATCACTCTAACTCAAAATTATGACCATTATCGTTTCATCATTTTCCATCGTTGATTTGCAGTACAAGGATACGTCAGCCAGCGTCATCCTGGGTTGACGACTACATCTCATGGATCCAGCCGTCATCGCAGTGCTGTCGGCAAGTGGAACCGGATCAGGATGAATTTTGCAATGCTTCAGGTAAGCAGAGCTAGATGACAAGATGCGAATACCGTGTACAAATGAGCTGGTGCCCCTTACCAAGGGTACTCTATGGGGCCGGCAACGGCAGAACTTCGTATCACGTGACGGACACGTGCATATTGTTTGCACCCTGTGCATGATAGATCCTGCTGCGGGTTCAACTCTCTGTTGGTCACTGACTTTGTGCACTGTTTACTACCTCCACCTGGTCTTCGTCCTATCCACCTCCTTTCACTTCTCCTCTGTCTCCGTCTTCTCCTCCTTTTCCTCTTTCTCCTCATCCTCCTGTTTTCCTTCAATAGAGAATCGTTTCTTGATCCTGTCGTTTGACTACATTTCAACTGTACTATACATGTACTTTGAGATAGTTTTTAATGTTTATGCTTGCCTTTCCACCGTGTTCTATCTTGCAGTCCCGCACTCGGTGGCCAATTGCAGTGACTGTCTGAGCAAGTCCCAGGTTGTCGATGACAGAGTATCACCGCAGCACTTCAATGAATTCCTGAACTACTTCCTGTCGGACATACCCACTCAGGACTGCGCCAAGGCGTAAGTGGCCACCCCTGCTAGTCTATCCCGGTCGGCATTTGTGTGCTAACACGTGTACATGACTTTGTACTTGTAGAGCAGGCAGAGTGTTGTCCTTTCCTAATACTGGCGTTGGTGTGCAAAAAATGTAGATGTCGTACATGCAGTTGTATGTAGTACTATGTATGCATGTGCAGGCATGCACGTGCTGGTACCGCTTTATGTATAGCAGGGGAGACATGACATGGCGCACTTCTAATAGAGAACTAAAGAAGATCGGTTTAGCACAATGGCTGTCTTGTGAGTGACTGAATAGATGTCTACACAAAACAACAACTCTGTGTCATTCTTGTCTGATGTTCAGAGGCAAGTCGGCATACAATGCTGGTGTCAATCGGACGTCCTTCAGCAATGGTACCGTCAAGCACATTCGATGTAAGTACAGTATTATGGTGGAACAGTTGTTGCCGTACATCCGTTGTATCGCGGGAAAACCCCGGTATGCAAAGAGTGGTATTTCCAAGACTTTGATTTAATACCCTGCACAGATACCCTGCACAGATAGAGACGGTGTTATTCGTGCCCAGAGATTTATTTGGATGAGATAATCTCAGTCACATCGTGCCCTGTATGCACATCTTTTGAACCTTGAAAACATTCAATTATAGTACATGTGCTTTGCTATCTTCTCTCGGTCAACCTGTCTTATCTATCGGTCTCCATGTTTTCGTTGAGATATGTGTCCACATAATACTGTTGCTCTCCTTTCCTTTCCGTGCACAGCATCCTATTTCATGACTTACCATGACGTGTGCGTCACGTCCGATGACTATGTCACGGCTCTGCGGCACGCCCAGGACATAGCTAGCAACATCTCACTTACTCTTGGAACAGAGGTCTTTGCGCATAGGTAATGTCTGGCACTGTTATACACAAACATACCTATCAACCACTATGATCCCGATTTGGCTGGGACAGTCCCGATATGGAGGGTGGTAATAGGCACCCAAACGTGTACTAGTTGCATGCATCACAGCTATATTTGTATATATTTTCATACCTATAGTATGTCATTGTCCCCATCTCAGGTTTGCACAGGCTGGCAGATATATAATTATCTGGATAGCATTCAATCTCATGATGAAATGCAATAGAACATTAAATAGGTGCTAATGCCCCCCCCCCCCCTCCCTCCCTCCCTCTCCAAGTTAGGTGCTAATGCCCCCCCCCCCCCCCCCTCCCTCTCCAAGTTCTGGATCTTCCCCATAAGACCATTTTTAGTAGGTCCTCCTTTGCACAATTTTAATTCTGGGAGCATTCGTGTGGAGTCTTTTGTATGGTGGCCCTCGCGAATCTGTTCAACCTTCAGCCAGCTGTGCTACGAATTTAGCCAAAGGTATGCTACAGACTACAGGGAGTATGTAGTTAGCATTCTGCATGCTATGCGGATGTGGTCTCCTTTTTAAATAGTTGGCAAACAGTGCAGGTTAGCACGTGTATGGCAATTATGGAATAAGGAGTACATGTTATACGTGTACAGTCGACTTTGCGTATAACCACACTCGGCGGCGGGGCATCAGAAAAGTCTCCTTATTCGCCAAGTGTCCTTATATCCGAAGTCTCATTATAACTATGTATTACAGTTAGATGGGACTTTGCTCTTGGCATGGAAATTCTGTCGTTATTCGCGAATTGTCGTTATATCCGCAATCGTTATTAGCGAAGTTGACTGTACGCGGAGTTAACCTTACTCAGACAGTGGTCATGCCCATGTCATTGAGCTGAGGTTGTTTGCTTTCCCTGCTTCTAAACAAATGCATTCTCTTGTTCTGATTGTGCTCACAGCTATTTCTATGTCTTCTATGAGCAGTACCTGAATATGGCACATGAAGCCATCCTCAACCTGTCTCTCTGTGCTGGTAAGACATATTCTATTACATCATGTCTATCCTACATGGACATGTGTGGATCGTGGAGGACTACACTGTAGGCTTTTCTTGACTCACTTCACTGTCACGGTATTGACCTCCTTTTTCAATTCTTCATCCTCAGTCTACGCTCAATCTCCGGACAGCTGTTTCGACCACTCCATACTCTGCCCTCTCGCTTATGCAAAAACTACCCATAACTCATCGTGACACACACACACACACACACACACACACACACACACACACACACACACACACACACACACACACACACGGTACCATTTCATTGTAATTGTATGTATTTGCATGACATTCTGCTTCCGAGAACTAGAGTGGCGACTGTCGTGCTTGTTGCTGATTGTGCTTGTACAGCTGCCGTGTTCACCGTCTCCTTCATCTTACTGGGATTCAGCTTTGGCTGTGCACTCATCACACTCATCACTGTAATGATGATTGTCGTGGACCTGATGGGTATTATGTACTTCTGGAGCATCAGCTTCAACGCCATCAGCTTGGTCAATCTTGTCATGGTAAGCCAGGCGTACTATCTACATGTCTATCAGTGTATCAGTGTGCATGCTAACCCAGCGCTGAAGTGGCAAAACCTGATTTCTCTTTCTGACTTTGTGTTTTTTAAGTCACCGCCATCTCTGAGGCGAATTGTTGGTGTGTGGCCAGTTGCCATTTATTTACTCCAAACAGTACATGGCTCAGAACGGCCAGCAACTATTCATCATGCAGCTTCCCACCACCCTGATGTCGCCCGCACGTGATATTTACATGCACAAGGTGCTATGCAGCCAAAATGTGCACTCCCTCTCACTGTTGCCCTCTCATTGTGCGTTCATGCAGTGTGTCGGAATCTCCGTGGAATTCTGTGCTCACATCGTACGCAAGTTCAGCGTGTCGTTCAAGCCAACGCGTCTGGATCGTGCTATAGATGCTCTGTCCACCACAGGCAGTTCGGTTAGTACCAGCATGAGCCAGCCAGCCATCATGTTCAAGTTCCTTTGCTATTCTAGCTTCTGCATGTGCCATGTGGTGCCATGATGTATATCTGATCAGCAGATAAAGTCACAATGCATGCGTTCACTGTTTATAGAAGTACATGTAGGAGGTGTTTATCGTCAACCACCACACCACCACAACTGTCTTCTCCAGCCGACCTTGATACATGCAGGTGGAGGTGTGTTCTCAATACAAGCATTATTGAAAGATACCTATTTTTATTTTATTTTGACCGATAGACACAAACTGTACTCCTGGTGTCACCTATCTACCTCTGAGAAGTGCTGTGTGACAACTGTAGGTACGCCACCGGTAGGTTGATGATAGTGTGATGATAGTGTGATGATAGTGTGATGATAGTGTGATGATAGCGTGATGGATCATGTCTGCTGCTGGACTCTGTGCACTTGCAGGTGGTAAGCGGAATTACCCTGACTAAGTTCGTTGGCATAATTGTCCTCTACTTCGCCAAGTCTCAACTCTTTAAGGTGAGTGAAGAGGTTCGCCAATATATAAATCCATTGGCAATGGACTATAAATTTCCAGTTGCTATTGTGAATGTATAGACATTGACGTCCCGTTTGACCCGAATTTCACTTGCCAGTACGTGGTCAAGCTGCCGCCTATTCTCAACCAGTCTCTCTGTGTTTCTGGTGTATGGTGGTGGTCATGGTGTGGTGGTGTCATTGGTGTTGCAGGTCTTCTACTTCCGCATGTACCTGTGTATGGTGTTGCTGGGTGCAAGTCACGGGCTCCTCTTCCTGCCCGTGCTGCTTAGTTTTGTCGGTAAGTCCATCAGGCCAATGTTGCAACACTGTGGAATAATCGTATATGGATAAGGTTCATGCATGCATCATTCTATTTCAAAGTGAAACCAAGAATACATTGTACATTATCAAGTTGTGAAAATAGGCCGTGTTTGCCAATGGCTATGGCAGCAGTGATTCATTGTGTTGAGTTCTTCCATGTGCGTGTGTGCGTGTGCAATGTTTGCTGTTGATGTGCTGTAGGACCGCGTTGTCCTACGGTAAGCGCTGCAAGATCCCGTTTGTCCGAGACTTCACCATTGTTAGGTTCTAACCAGGCTAAAGCACATTAGAAAACCAGTTGTGTAGAATTAGTATCTTGATTTTAAAACTAACTACTACCTTGACATGCACACTTCCCAGAGCCAGAGCCAGTTACAATTATCATTATTTTTATGAATGTGCATCTTCTACGTGACAAAATCTACTGTAATTTCACAAATTTTCGGTGTACTTTTATTTTCGGCACTTTCGGTGCGTCTATTTCATACCTAAAATTTCAATACACCGAACGAACACTAGCACACATAATCCAATGGGCAATGGGAATTGCTCCTCTGTACCTAAAATTTCTGTTCACCTAACCTGGCCTTTTGCCCTCATACCGAAAATATTGAGCACCTAGAATTTCTGAAATTCGAGTATTTAAAAATTGTTATTTTCCATAGAGACTGATTACTTTCTATTTGTGGTTGTCGGAATGCTGGCTCATTTCTGCTCTAGCAAACAAAACTGATGCATGATTATTATCAATATCTTCAGATTCTTAGCAGTCCATGTACATATCACTAGTTTCAAATTTTAATGGCAGTGACATTTAGAAATCTTGCAAAACATCAGATTGAAGGTTGCTTGCCTGTTTGTTGCATATGCGGCACATGTACCACATGCAGTGGACGCTCACCCACCAACATACACACACAAATGATAGCCCGGGTGGGCAATAATGAACTTCTAGTACGTAGAGAACTGAACTGTTCAATACAATCAAGTAAGTACTGTAAATCAACAAATTTAATTTCGCTGATTTCGCCACTCTCTGTAACAAATGCGTACAGTAGACTATAGACAGGGGTCTACAAACTACGCGGACCTTTGTACTACTATACTACTACAATAATAGTAGTATATGCGCACACGAAACATCGATCGCTTTTTGGACTCTTGCACGCCCACGGCGAAAGTTAAGTGGCGGCGAAAAGTGTTTTCTGGAGATCGGCAAAAGTGTTTCACCGGCGAAAATTTGTTGATTTACAGTAGTTTGACACATGGACACCGTCATATACTTTTCAGAATCCGGTGCTAACCGGTGGGTTCTATCTACATGCCATGCGCCTACCTGTTTATAATCTGGCACACAATACTTCTACTTTACTGTACTACAGTATTGTGCTTGCTCACTGCCAAAACTGGTTACGTGGGTCTCCCCGGGAGAGGGGAGAGAGACTCAAAAGGAATCTTGGAAATATGACTCAATTGGCTATTGAACTGCCCAACGGCCGACACCCCACACAGCAATGCGAGCATGTGCAAATCGTACATGTCCGCAAAACGCCCATGACAGGATAAAAAGTATCACAAAGACTTAAAAATGCCCGCGTTCAACGCTCATTCAATGCATGTGTCGATGCATGCACTGGACTTGCACACGTTACGGCCGATTCATACTTCATGTCGCGTACGGGAAAGTCACCGAGCGACCGTCGCACGATGGCTTTCCAGTACGCGGAATAGTTGAGCTCAGATCAACGTTTTCTCGACGCATTTCCCGTACGCGAAATGAAGTATGAATCGGCCTTAACGCCAGCTGTAAAACAGCAACGGGAGCAGGAGAGGAAGGGGGCTGAGTTAGAGTCCCATCGGGAGAACAAGAGTGCATTGTATGCAAAGGTTACAAATGTGCATGTGGCGCAGCGCAGTGTGAAGCAGGGAGTAGTAAATACCGTTCTTTTACTGCTCCCTTGCGTGAAGTGACTACACTAGCTGTACTGTGCGGTTTTTGTTCCAACTTGCCGCCCCTGTCATTCGAGGAAAAGAAGCATGTTTGTTTGAAAGCCCAGATGTCGGAGCCTCCAGCAAAACGTTTGCAAGAAGTAGCCGATAGTGCAGTCATGTACATGTATATGTTGTTGATGATGTATAGTCTGCTGAATCAGACTCGTTGGGTTCTCGTGAGAAGCGCCATAGGCTTGATGCATGCTTTTAAAGCCCGATCTGAATCTCGAATATCCACCAGGTTCTGAGTGCAGTTTACCGCAAAAATTCCAAAAATCTAATAATAGAACGAGCTGGCTGAGCCACTCGGTATTCTTGATTGCAAAGAAGAAAATAGGGTGAATTGTGTGCACTATGTTGTGTCACATGACCTTCCAAAGCAGACTGAAAAGAGCTACGCTGCGGGCCCCTGGGTAGCATGCATGCATGTACTGTACCAGCACTGCACTGAGTGTACATGTGCGCAGTACATGCAGGGAGTCAGGGACGTACAGTAGGCATTGCATGTGCAGTGCACTGCTATTACTTGTGCCCAGTGGGAGCCTACGTGCCGCCCATGTACCGTCCATACAGCTAGCATACTCAGGATATCATGGGCCAGATTGTTTTGGCGACGACTGTACGTACCCCCCCCCCCCCCCCTTCTGTATGGAGTCACGTTGTTGTGTACAACTCCTTGATCTTGCTGGAAATCCCGTACCTCTGCCAACTTCAACCGGCTTCTACCAACTTTTTCCTGGTAGAGCTGGTAGAGGAAAGTAGACTGAGATGATCTACCCTTTTGAGTAGAAAAAACGAACACTTCTACCGAACGGATTGGGAGAACTTCAAATTCAAAGGATCAGTTGGACCGAAAGCAGTAGTTTCTAACTTCCTAACTTTCTACCCAAACCTGTAGATCAGGCATCGATTTTACCCAATACCGGTATCTCAATATTAATTTTCAAGTTGCTCTGATTTTGCGGGCATTTTCCGTTTGTTTCAATTCTTCGACATTTTGCCGGCAGAATCTGTCTGGGCCAAACTTACTCCCTATAATGACTATGTAGGCCCTACATGCTACAGCTCCTGGACCTGTTTCGAGAGTTAGGTCTCGTCAGCGGAGCTCAGACTCAGAGTTACTTGCACAGCGAGTCACAGTTTCAAGTTGCACGCGGGGAAAAAAAACTTTGACGCTAACCAGAAGGAGTGCTCAACCAAGCCGAGGCGAGGGAGTGTGAAACACATCTCAACAACGTCTTACCCTTTCAACGTGAATTTCAGTCATGTCGGTCCCATTCCGAGTCCTCTGAACCACAATATTCCACAGGTCCCCGATTACGAGCGTAGTAGCGACTGTGGCGCCGGCATTTGATACCGGTAAGTAACTAGTTGGACGACTCAGCTCGGCCTTCACATTCACAAATGCGTGATTGTAGGTCTACTCTCTTAGTAACCGATTACCGACCATTTCCGAGTGCCGGTGGCAACCCGTCCGTCCGTCAGTTACGAAAATTGTCCAACCTTCACTGAGTCTTCCTGTGGCGAGCTTCAGACGGAAGCGTGTGATGCAAGTCCAGGACTGTACTGGCTACCCGACTGGTTGACGTCGTTATCATGGTTATCAAGGGTTTACAGTCCATTCATAAAAAAATGGGTCCTGGCTCTGGCGAGCTCCCGTATTTGGCGATTTTTCGTGATTTCATCGTACACAGTGCAGTGCTGCGAACTTTGAAATTTGAAAAGGGTCCAAAAAGGGTGCCTGAACTGGGGTTCGAACCGCAGAATGCACTGTTGCAGGCGGGGTCAAACGGCCTGGATTTTGATGGTTTTTCCCAATTCAGTGCTTTTGGGGCAAAACCTGGCCGAAATCCTATTCTTGCTATGGCTTGCTTTTTGGACAAAAAAACTTCAGAAACATAATTGGAAGAGGATTCCATATGGGATTGCAGAAAAAAATTCTAAAAAAACTCAACGTTTGACCCATTTATGGCCAAAAGCTAGAAGTTCATTTTTTTCTGAATGGACTGTAGGTTGTTCCAGGAAATCATCCTTCCACCGCCACTGGTACTACCATGTATATGTACATGTACATGTACCATGACATGCAGCATCCTCTACCGCCGTTTTTGACGATAGAAAACATGGCGATTGACCCAGCCTCCGAGGAATGAGGAGTACTAACTAATAATTATTACTTGATCCCACCGCTCTCTAATACCAATAGGTGTAGTGCAGCAGGTGCGGCTAGTTGAGCTCTGCTGCTGGACACACAATGCTGGCTTGGCTAGCCATTACAACTTTTTACTTGGACAACTGAAAGGACGCTAACATCTGAAGGAGGGTATTCACAAGCCTTAGTCATTTTCCAAGATGGATACGTAGAGCAAGGAGAGAAAGAAGGTGACTGAGACTCCTTTTACGCATACTGTTTACTCAGCTAGCTGAGCGCGCCTTAGCTTAGCACACATGGTCACACAAATCAGACAGTAGGGAGAGCTGGGGGCCAATGAGCAAGCGAGAAGGGTGAGAACACCAACGAGTCGATACAGGCGTGGGGATGGCAACCAGGCTAGTTGTGAAGGACTTTCACGACTGGCCTGGACTGGTCTCATCAGACTAATGGAAACTATCTTTTCACACACACACACACACACACACACACACATACACGCGCGCGCGCGCAACCGCGAAGTGCGAACCATGCGTCCATGATGAGGGGCTGTTCAGTGTTCACCCATACAAGGTCATGGGAGTCATGAAAGTTGAAGAGAAACAGCAGCTTACTTACAAAGTTCGCACTTTTGCGGTATTGCACAATGACATGTCACTGCGGATGATGTGCCAATTCCGCGCAATGACGTAGTGCACTAAACTGATCTTTCACCATTCCTGAAATTCCCATCATCATTGGCGCGTAATGCTCGACAAATTGGCAGATTCTGCTCGAAAAGCAGTGAAATAATTGACAGAACCCGGCATACAAACCTTATGGTAGGCACTTCCTTGAATTCTCACTCGGATCCATTTCTTTATCCACATACCAAACATGCATGAAACATACCAGACTGAAAAATACCCTTCACATGATCACAGTGAAATTCTGCCAATTTTTTGTCGGCCCGAAGGACTACTAGTACTACCGGTACTTGTTCGTGAAACCAAGAGTACATAACCTCAGTGTGAAACAGTGGTGAAACCGAGTCAGAGTCACACCGCTTTCAGGCTCCCTCCTGTTTAGCTATTGTTGTGATTCCTCGCTACCGTGCTTGGTCAACTTTGTCGTTGAACCGTATGAACGGCTGAGTCAACCATGGTCAACAGTATCAAGCAGCTCTACCACCGTTTCTTCGTTGCTTGTTGGATGGCCGTGCGATTCTGGAATGTAAGCGGGTGTGTCTAGGAAGGGTTGTACCAGACAGCAAGAACCCATGCCATGGGGTTGTCAACGGTTATGTAGACTCCCACAGCTGAGTAGTCTTGCTCAATGAAATGATGAAATACATTTTCACCCTATAACTTACACGTGCACAGCCCGGCAGTGTTGGTAGGTCTGGGGCTGCTACACATCAGATTTCATTGAGCAGAACTGCACAACGTCTGTTCTCATGATGTGTCGGTTTTATCCCATGCTCCCCCGCTGTGTGCCGTATTGTAGGCCAAGTCCTCATCTGCCACCGCCTCTTCCACTCAACCTCTTGCTCCAGAGCTGCAGACGGGGGGGGGGGGGGGGGGCTGATTTCTACATAACTGACGTGATCAGTCGTTTATCTCCCACCATGAACTGCACAACGTCTGTTCTCATGATGTGTCGGTTTTATCCCATGCTCCCCCGCTGTGTGCCGTATTGTAGGCCAAGTCCTCA